TCCCACTCTGCCGTATGGATATGGAAGCAGTCCCCAGGCTTCTATGAGCATGTATCAGGTGCCAGGTTCTGCAGGACAGCAATATCCTCAAGTAAGGACGATGAACTTCTCGCAAAGTTCACACGAAAGCGATGGCAGATAGTTCAGTTTTTATTATTCATCTCAGATCTTGGTAATTGGCTAAATTATAACTGCAGGTTGCCTTGTGTTGCCTTGTGTCCTTAAAAGGAAATTCTCGAAGCAAGTGGCACGGTTAAGAAAGAAAAGGACGTTGTTTGAGCTTTTAAAATTGTTCTTTACTCTTTCCCAGGCTCCTCAGCTTTATGCCCCACATCCTGCAGGCTTTCCCCAGGTCTCTCCTCCTACTTCACTTCAGTACATGAGCGACCCAGGCACTGTAATGGGATCGTCTGGTGTGGTGAGTGGTTTTCTATCTCCTACTTACGTCGCCTTACAATCTGAGAGCGAATAGTTTGCAAACTGGTAGAGATTGTGTAGTGTGTGTTAGGAGCAAATGGGCTAGGATGATGAATGAGTGTGTTGTTGGTGGGGCATTAATGAGTGGCGGATGGGGAAGTGGAAATGTCATGGTAGGGGTGGGACTGGGTTACTGGCACGGCGCTAAGAACAGCGGGCAGCACTCTTGTGTTTGTTTCCCATCGACCACTGACCCTATACGCATTAGAAAGATCGTGGTTTATCTCACATGAAGGGGATGGACAGTTACGTTAAACTGGACGATGATTATAAAACCTTAAATTAGTTCTTTAGTGTAGATTCAGAAGTACATTCACGATAGTTTGACTCTAAGCGATTTTTGTTTGCATTCCAGAGTACGGCTTATTCCAGTCAAGGTCCTGTGCAACCCTATGCAGGTCACGTGCCTAACCAACCTACACAGCCCAGCCAGGCACATTATACTGCTTCCCAGGCATCAATGCAACCGCGAAACAACGTTCAACAAACGTTCCCGAGCCAACAACAGGTTCAAGCACCACCGATGTCCTACCAACAGCAGCACCTACCCTACCAACAGGGGTTCCCTGCGGCACCTCCCGAGTACCCATCCCAGAGTGCACCACAGGATTACTATGGCCAGTCCCTAACACAACCTAGTGCATCAGGTTACCCGAGTTTCCCCGCGCAGCCACAGATGGTTTATTCGCAGCAACCGCTGATCTGATAGTGACAGTGCTGGTAGTCTCATCTTGAAATATTTCTTAGCGTTTAAATTTCGCTGATTAAAAGCAGCGTTATAATTCGCCTTATTTCGGGCGGAATTGATCATGTAAAAACGATTCTTATCCTAAAAATTAATGGATTAATTTAACAAAATTTGATAAAGTGGAATCAAAAATAGGGTCGAAAATGACTGCTATCTAGAATTCCAAAATGAAAAGGGGTGAACTTTGGCGGAGCGTGGGTTCGATTCATTTTCACAGTAAATTATCGAGCGAGAAGGAAAACATTTCTCTAAATTATCCGTCAAGGTTTGATCTTCCCTCCCTCTTCATCGATATTTTAGAAGTTTGCGAAGGCATAACTACAGTTATCTCTTGTTGTAATCATTTCCAAAGAAGTACAAAGTGGAAGAATTTATTTCTTATGAAGTGTTCTTAAACGATACCAATAAAGGAAAAAGGAAAATCAACTTGTACAAAACGATTAACAATACCACTTGTAAGTAGGACGTAGTACTTGGAGCTGTAATTTGAAAGGTTTCACACAAGATATCTTGTGATCGCACCGCACGGCTTAATGAGCAGTGCAAGTGAATGCACTGAACTGTTATTGGAAAGCCATTTTCGGCTTACACACAGTCCAAACGGTTAGATTTACCTTGTTTAGAACAGTAAGCAATTCGCCTAAAAGTACTGCTTGGTAGCTTTAACTGAAACAGTTAGAGGAATTTATACACTCATTTAACCCTTTATACTCTGACATCAGTATGCATATTCCCCATACTGTTTTCTATACATTTGATAAGGTGCTGAAATGGAGAATTTGTTTAACAATCAAGAGCTTTAGTTTCTTTACTCTCCTGACCATAATGTTTGATTTAGGGGTGATATGGTTAGGAGAGATTAGATACTAGTCACTCTTAGTTGTTAAAGCGGTAAATTTTTTGCACAGTTTACACAGTAATAAACAGTAGCACATGCACGCTCGTGACTTAAATTTATTTAAATACTCGCGCACTCGGGTTTTAGCCTCGCTCTTAAAAGTTAAATATACTTTGTACAACAAAACTGACATCACTGGCAAATGAAAGTATTGCCTTAGCGCTTCAACTTAGCCTCGTGGAGGCGAAGAATTGTCAATCAACGATTGATTATGGTTATGGATTCGAAATTCAATCTTTTTATTTGCCAGTTAAGTTAGCTGTAGTTCGTTCCTTTGTTTTACTATTATTACAAACTTCTTTCGAAATTTTTGCTCGTTATTTGAATGTTGAAATTATAAGTTAGAAGCGGTAATTAGACCACACCAAGTGGAATGAAGTGGGTACTTTATGAATATGGTCCTATCAGAAATAAACGAAAAAAGTAGTCATTGATTATGAGAGGTAGTTAGATTTGTGTTTTAATCCGTTATACTGTAGGGAAACCAGTGTCCTCAGAGGCAGTAGGAAGGAGGGTGACATGCCTGAAATTTTGAGTAAGAAGTTGTAATTAGACCAGACCAAGTAGAATGAAGTGGGTGCTATCAGAAATAAAGGAAAAAAAAGTAGTCATTGATAATGAGAGATGGTCAGATTTGTGTTTTAATCCGTTATACTGTTGGAAAACCGTTGTCTTTAGAGGGAGAAGGAAAGAGGGTGCCATGCTTCGTGAAAACGAAAAGACGAGAAGATGATCGATTGCCGAAGATGCTAGCGAAAATACCAAGGCATCCAAGTAGAATGAAGTGGGTGCTATCAGAAATAAAGGAAAAAAAAGTAGTCATTGGTAATGAGAGATGGTTAGGTTTGTGTTTTAATCCGTTATACTGTTGGAAACAGGTTTGTGTTTTAATCCGTTATACTGTTGGAAAACCGTTGTCTTTAGAGGGAGAAGGTAAGAGGGTGCCATGTTTGCTTCGTGAAAACGAAAAGACGAGAAGATGATCGATTGCCGAAGATGCTAGCGAAAGTACCAAGGCATCCCTTCCATTTGTTTGCAGGAAACATTGATAGTGCAGCATTAAAGTAGCATCATGATCTTATGTCAAATCGTTCTATCACAATTGCCAAAAAAGTGATGTGTTGTGGCCGAAGAATGCATAAATAATTCAGGGCGACAGTGATAGTAAAACAGCTGGATATTTCGCTGCCAACTTGATGGACTTTTGGGAAATTATGGGAGTTTTGGTTCGCCCGGTGTACGATGTGCCCCCTCCCCCTCCCTCGGACATGTAAAAATGCTCGGCCGCCTTGGACAAAATTTAAATTCCGAATCAAGTGTTCTTCATGAACGGCGTGATAATCAAAGAGCAAACAGGATAAATTCGATTCAGCAATGAAGAATGGTGTGCGATAATCATCTTTGTAATGCTGTTTAGTCTCTTCAAATTACACAATTTTGTTTTCAAGAAATTAGTTCATCTCTTGACTTTTGAAAGCCGGACAGAGTGTAAATCTTTGAATTGTCAAACACAGATACGAGGGACTTCTTATTACGATCAATAGGAAAGTTTTTCATTTTCCATTCCTATCCTCATTTTCTTTTAAATAAGGTTCTTTAGCAATCTTGGAATGGCAGTTTAATCAATACGGTTATAATTCGGTTATTTATCTCGGAAAGTTGAATAAACAAGACAAATCGATCATGTTCATTTTGAATTTACTCCTAACAGTAAATTCAATCGTATCTGTTGTTAAAAGAATCTGACGGTTTTGCAACAGAGCACGACTCTAACAATTGTTTGCAGATCACAAAAAAAAATCGTCGGTTTAAACAATCCCATTCCCCCACCAAACTGACGTTCGCTGAGCAACATAATGAGGTCGCAAACGTTTTTTTTCTTCGCGATGACAGTCACTTACTAACTTAATTGCTCATTCTCGTTGTCTACAAGCATTATGTTCACGGCGAACTTTTGAAAGCCGGACAGAGTCAAAATCCTTGAATCTTTTAATTGTTCACTTACTAACTCGCTCATTCTCTTTGTCTACAGTCATCACGTTCAGCGAACTTTTCAAAGCGGAACACGTACAATTATAGTCTTTGCATCTTTGAATTGTCAAACACAGATACGTGAGGCTTCTTGATACGATTAATAGAATTTTTTTTTCATTTTCCGTTCTTATCTTCAGTTTCTTTTAAATAAAAATGAGGTTCATCGGCAATCTTAGAGTGGCAGTTGAATCAATACAGTTATAATTCTGGTTAATTATTTCGGCCAGTTGATTAAACAAGAGAAGTCGATCATGATCTTTTTAAGTTTACTCTTAACAATTAACTCAGTCGTATTTAAGTTCAAAAGAATACACAGTTTTGCTACAAAGCACGACTCTCACAACTTTTTGCAGATCACAAAAAATCGTCGGTTTAAACAATCTTCTTCTTTCACCAAACTGACGGTCGCTGAGCAACATAATGAGGTCGCAAAGGTTTTTTTTCTTCGCGATGACAACCGTCTACAGATTTGTTGTTGTTTTATCAGTAAGTTCTTTTCGTCTTTTCACACGTTTAAGGCCTTTTAATCTTAAGTTTCAAAACTCATGTGTTAATTTTTAACATATACTGATAAGAGGAATTTAGGTTTCTTACTGAGTGCAAAGCAACCGCAAAACAGAGAAAAGCCTGGGGTTGATTTAAGAAATACTGATGACATCGCATCTTCTGGTCAAGAGCGTTAATTAACTTGATCCAGTTGTGTTAACTGCTGCTAAATTGAAATTTTCTTCCCGAACAAAAGTTTGTTTTTCTGCGTATCCAATTAACTCACATCTCTGATATATCACCATAGCAAAAATCTTAGGTCTTATTTCTTGGTTGTTATGAAGGGCAAAAGACTGACTCGCTCATTCTCGTTGTCTACAGGCATCATGTTCAGCGAACTCCTGTATAACGCAGGTTAGTTATGAACTTGCTACTTTATTTAAATTGGCTTCAAATGATTTTCGACCTTTCAACTCCAGTGTTGAGTAAACCTTTTATAATTGTGCAAAGACTATCAACATATTTTTTTGCAAGATTATTATTAGAAAATTGGAAAATCTCTCTTTGCAAGGGAATATCATCAGTTGTTCTTCACTTTAAGTCATAGGCGTAAGCGATGATGAGACACGTTTTAACAAATCATTCGTCTTCATTTGTCTTCCCCGAAAAGAGAGCTTGTTCACAGGATATATATTTTCGGGCAAAAATATTTGAACAATTATAGTAATGACGACTGATTATTTACAAATTCTTTTGTAGGAAAGGGTATTTTATCATCAGACCATGACTCCATCCTGGCTGGAAATGTACGCATCATACATTGACAGCTCACGTGTACTGACGGCTTCACAGCTTACATTCAACGCTGGAAACGTAAAAAATGCTGCTCTTTTAAAGATTCCCATGATTCCTGCAGGTACACTCAGAGATTCAATGCCGCTGACAGTTGAGATCACGGTCGCACATGACGTGAGCATCGGACAAGGAACTGACAGCGATATCACATATGGTGTGTCAGATGGTACCAGAATTATTGGTTTTATCACGTGGGACAAATTGAACTTTAATGACCGCTCTCCTTGCGTCGGGGTGGAAGGTGACTCCGGATCTACCTTTAAGGGTATTCGCTTCGAATCACTTACGCCGAAAGCAAGCGACTCTTTCTACCCTGGTCAGTATGACATCACTCTCAAGCTGGATCAACGCTGGGGATCGTGCTACACAGCGCATGATGGAGGCTTCGTGAGGACCGCTGGCTTCAACAATCGACTGATGTTCAGTAAGGGACTTACATTGGAGGTGTACAAAGGCGACAAAGACGAGAAAGTTGGCATACGATTCATCAAGGTCACCATCATAGAGGATGAGGCTTAGAAGAAGGGATCTTGCGACCGAAACCAATCGATTCCATCGGCATTAGAATAGCTGTAACCATGGTTATAAGGACAGAGGAATTTAGATGAAGAAACAAAAGCAAGAAATCTTATAATTGTACACGTTTTTGATTGATGAATAAATGTGCATATTGCTTTGAGATATTTTTCACGCAAGATACCAGAGAAAATGAGCGGGCAACTTAATTTGTGTTGATATCACATTAAATAATAATATCTATTTTATTTTTGTTTTCATAATTTTTATCGTTGGAGCTGCTGGTTTCTTAATCAATATATTGAAAAATCTTCAAATCCGCTAGTTTTTTTCAATGAAGATTTTGGTATTTGAGCGAGAAGTTGGATAATTTGGAAGAATTGGACTACTTTTTTTAAGGAGCTCGTACAGATAGTTACAGCTGAAACAGAAACAAACATCTGATCCCAGATAAATATTAGTTCTGATTAAAAATTATGAAACACTGAAACAAACAAACAAAAATAGTCGTCGTCCCGAGTGTGCGACAGGCTGGGGCGAGCCTCGCCGATCATTGTTGTGTAGGACCACATGAAAACTCACATTGAAATTCACTGTCCCAACACGAATGATTCGGAGGAGCTTTAGCCACCTTTCGCGTAAGGTAAAGCATGGATCGCAATTATTATTCCCTATGTATTGATATAATGAGGACTTTGAAGTATGCAGCTACCTTAATACACTCCTAATAGTCTCAAAACGATAGTAACAGTCTTTGTTTGCAACAGTATTTGCGACCGCGATCGATGAAACTCATACACGACCACAAATCGTAAGGTTAAGAAATCACCTTCTTTCTCTCAATTTCTTTTCAATACAACATGCTTTCTTTGTAAAAGCTATATACGAGTGAAATGTTAAAGTTGCGACCACTACGACTTACCTCATTTCCACCGTAACAAACCCCCTCCCTCCCCCCTCCCCCCTCCCCTTCCTAGGTGGGAAGAATTGCGTTTAGAAATAGAACTGCATAGCTACCGTCTACTTTGGTATTATCGACTGAGTCGATAACTTAGTTGATTGTCAGAGCAATAGAGGATTACAAGTGCTTTTCCATTCAACTTACTTATCTTATTTTCTTGTCACCATATTCCCACCAATAGCGTATCTCCATTTTCTGTATACAAAACACACAAAACCCATTATTCCTCCAATTGCTCTAATGAAGGGCTAACACTCGAAAATCTCAGGTTTTAAACTCTTTATGGTGGCCAGTTTATGTTATCAACTCAGTTGATAATACTAAATCACTCTGTTATACTCTCCCACTGATGCAGGAATATAACTCCTTTATGCATAACTACTGGGTGAAGTGGAAGAGGGGGTTGGGGGGGGGGGGACATGGGGGAAGGGTATAGTAAAGAGTGACAACTTGATGTTTAGCTAAATGCAACTTTTTAGCAAAACATGAGGTCTCTGCCTCCATGCTAACCAGAACAGGTTGAAAGTTGCACAGAGACCTCTCCTACACATGTAATAAGACATATCTTACATTTTTAGCCTATTGGCCAGCTGGTAAAAAAAGTCAAGATTGTTGAAGTGGGACCAAGAGATGGACTTCAGAATGAGCAGGTAAATGGGAAAGATTAAATATGCACCCAATTACCTTAATCTTACATTGTTAGTGTCAAGTAAGGTGCCATACCTTCTTATCTATGATAAAAATGATGGTCAAAATGATACCAATGATGTGTTGTAATGATAGCAACAATGAAAGCTTATTGTGTTCATTTTATTCCAGAGGATTGTTCCCACGGAAACGAAGATCAGTTTGATTGACAAGTTATCAGAGACTGGCCTTCAGGCAATAGAAGCAACCAGTTTTGTTTCACCCAAATGGGTTCCACAGGTATGTTAGGGGAGGGGAGGCTAGAGAACAGAAGAGTGGGCTGGTATACTTTGGAGGATAAGTAAGATGTGTAGCTAAAGAGAAACTCACCCTTAAAATTTGGCAGAATGCTCTGCAATTCAAGCTTCTCTCAGAATAAATCTAACAAAATAGAAGTGTTCAGTGGCCATGAGACAAGAAAGAGTGCAGCACTTTCTTGAAAACAACACATTTACTAACCTTGCAATTCCTCTTTTGCTTGTGATAAACCTAAAAAGATAATTTTATGCCAAGTTGTGAAAGACTCCTGCAAGAGTTATGCATCCAGACAAAATGTTCAATACTTAGCCAACTCCCTAAGGAAAGATTTGACTGAATATAGATTTTTGAGCTCTTAACTATTTAACCCAATAGAGTAACTAGCATTTAATTTCTGCTAACAGTTTCACCCTTGAACAGTGAGTGTGATAAGAATAGAAGAAATGATGTGCAGCTTCAGAAACTTTTGATTGTTGAACAAATTCTTTGTGTCAAAACTTGCAGAAGTGCTCAAAATTGAACCATCAAAGAGAAAAAAGTCTGTAAAATAGGATAAGATTAGTTGATAATGAATATTTTTGAACAACATTTACCACAGCATCTCAGAGGAGGAGTAGGAACCTTGATCAGAAGTCAGGTTCTCCTCTGTGTACATTCTAAAAATAATTAATGGATGTTGTTTTATAGATGGCTGATCATGAACAAGTCATGCAAAGGATAAAGAAAGTTCCAGGCATTTCTTACTCAGTATTGACCCCAAACCTTAAAGGTTTTCAAGCCGCGGTTAGTGATGCAGAACATAACATAATGTAGACATATGGATCACATGTACTCCAGATGACCCGAGTTGATATTTAGGTCTGAGGTTGATTGACATATTGGTTGATAATTAGGAGATATCTAATAGTGACTTGTCAGTAATCTGGAGGTTGATTGACAGTCAGCCATTGGTTGACTTACATGGATGAGCTGTTAACTTTCTATTGAAATGTCAAGGCGTTAGCTGAATAATCTGCTGACTATAATGTCCAACAAACCACTAACTATCAATGGCCAATCATATTCATAGTAAAAGCATACAAACACAAAATCTTAACTTACTGGGGCTCAGATCTTCATGCAGACTCTTTCTTTGTTATTTGATTTTGACATCAATTAAACATCTTTTTCTTTTTGTAACCATTCATCTGAGTGTGTTTTTGATTGATATTTGTAGTTGGAATGTGGAGTAAAAGAAGTGGCCATTTTTGGAGCTGCCTCAGAGTCATTCAGTAGGTAAATGTTTTTCCTACATCTTCAAGATGATGCTGCAGTAAGTGACAAAATCAAACAAGAAAAAAGCTGAATAAGACAATTTCCAAGGTTTCCTAATTTAGTTGTTACAGACCAGTATTGGTTTACCTCTCTAAAATAGTTCTCCTTTGAACAGTAAATTGTTTTTTTTACCCACTCAAAGGAAAAACATCAACTGCTCCATATCAGAAAGCCTACAGAGATTTGAAGTTGTTTGTGAAGCTGCAAAAGAAAACAACATTCCAGTGAGAGGGTGAGATGTCTTTACATAAAATGTTTGTTTATTTTTTTTCAGTTACAGTCATGAATAGTAATGAAGAATTGCAAAAGCACAAGTATGTACTTACATGTTTCAGGTGGTGTTATTTCATTAAATGTCATCTAAAAGCAAAATGAAATTTACCAGGCTAACTTTTGTACATCATGCAGTTATGCCAAATCTGTCCATACTCTGCAGATCCTAATTAAGTTATTTATATCTGAGAGTGAGGTCTTATTGCTCAATTAATACAGCAAGACCAAGAAAATGATGCCCACAGCACCCAGCTAATCACAGAGTGCCCAATTACATCTGTTACTTACACCAGCCATACAATAAACAATCAATTTAACCAATAATTGACACAGCCCTGTCTAATTAACTAAACAAAATGTGACCAAAGATCTTGCTCTGAATGGTATACCCATTAATTTGAAGTCAGAACATCCTACCTTTAAGTTTGCCAATGTCCCTTCTTATACTAAATTGAAATTTTCATGGACTCAAGATTTAGCTTTTACGCTTTCAGGTATGTTTCTTGTGTAGTTGGCTGTCCATATGAGGGATCTGTAGCTCCAAAGGCTGTAGCAATGGTAAGATTTAGCACCATAATTATCAGGAGTGGTAAAAATTAAGACCCACTGAGACAATGTCACTAAGACTTAAAGATTCAACAAGTTTTAGACTCGACTTGGATGATGACTGCCGAAGTTATCTGATTTCATCAAATTTCGTATTTTTCCCAAGGTAACGAAGAACTTGTTTGACATGGGGTGTTATGAAGTTTCTCTTGGTGATACTATTGGTGTTGGAACTCCAGGTTTGATGCACTTACTGTTGAATTAGACAAACAAAAATTTAGTATTTAACAATTTAAGCGCTTCTGATCACTTGGAATGTTAAAAAGCGCGCTATAAGTTAATAAATATTCATTGAGCATGATGCTTTTGATATTGCTGGTCTCAACTGTGTGTAGGACTGTTTTTTGATGCATGTTTAGTCCAGAATTTGGCCTGGCTTCTCCTAGAGTTAATTGAAGCTCAGCGATAATGCATCAGTTTTTTTTAACCGCGACTATTTTTGTTATACCCCCCGTGAGTTCTTCTTTCCATCTGCGACTTCTGTTTAGCCCCGCGTGGGCTTCTTTTGAAAAACCTGGCCTAAAAAAAAACTCCCATGTGATGTTTTTCCACTGTGGAGTGAGCGGGACGATAAGAAAGGAAGGGAAAGATGATAAAATCCCTAGGTCGATCCAGATGGGAAAAAAAATTTGTATCCTTAGTCAGTAAGTACACATTTTAGCATGATATGACTTAGGATGATTTTCCCTTTTTGGCCAACTGAAATTGGTGTATATGTAGGTTCCACTCAAGCCATGTTGGAGGGTGTTTTAGAGACAGTCCCGGTGAATCATCTGGCTATTCACTGCCACGACACATACGGTCAGGCTCTGGCCAATATTCTCACTGCGTTAAAAGTAGGTCAAGAATGAACGTGTGCGGCAAACTAAGAGTTTGCCAGACTTTCGCTGTTTTTTTCATGTTATGTGGCTATTAGAGAGATTAAGCCCGATGACTACAACCGACGGCTACTTACACGGCCGATGTTTTTCGACTTCAAATTTAGCACATTGAAAATACAAATTAGTGACCACTTGAATCCTGTTGAAAATTCAGTTTATTAGCTCTCTGTTTCTTATTTTCATTCAGTTAAAAACCTTGTTTAACTAGACCATGTTTTGCTGGTGTGAACGGGGCGTTACTCTGTAATGTAAAGCCTTTTATTGTCAACAGCTGGGGCTAGGGACAGTAGATGCGTCTGTCAGTGGTCTGGGTGGCTGTCCCTACGCACGTGGGGCATCTGGAAATGTCGCTACAGAAGATGTGGTTTACATGCTGCATGGAATGGGAATTGAAACGGTTTGTTTTCATTTCAATGAGATCAAAATGAATGTGACACAAACTTACAGTGTAAGTCTGTCTCACAGTAAATGTATACGAATTATTAGAGATCGTCATGTTTCCACTCCAATTCGTGCGTTGTAATCCAGTGCCCGTGAAAAAAACATAGGCGAATATAGTCTACACCTTTAGTTGTCTAGGGTTCAGTTATTCAAAGGAAAACTAGAACTAAATACCCAAACGATAGGATCGGAAACATACGAAAATTGTGTTAAGAAAGAATCAAGAAACAAGAATGAAGATGATTGGCGATAACTTTGTTGACTAAGTGCCCCGAGTTTAAACGCCCATCTGATCCGACTGCCTGTAGAAAAAATCATTCTGTTGTATTTTTATTCATAAGGGAATTAATTTGAACAAATTAGTGGACGCAGGACAGTTCATCTGCCAAGCCTTGGATCGTAAAACCTCCTCGAAAGTAGCTCAAGCGAGAACAGACGGTCAGGAAGCGAAAAGCTGATGACATATCACAAGGAAGTGGCTGGTCTCAGTCTCAATGTCTCTCCGTAAGGGTGTGACTTTCTTTAAGTGCTCAAAATATATTTATTTAATGTTTATTTGGAGAATCTGGTGATAAATGAACCCAGAACAATTTGGCCAAGTCGTAACGGGTTCGCAAGGTTTTCGCTCGACCGTTTGCGAGATTTTTACAATGGACATGAAGATTTCAGGCACTAAACAGCCTACTAAGTAATGATTTCTCACGCTTGTTAACTAGAAATTAACAAGAAACTTTTCCCACAATGTCAACACAATATCCAACAGAGAAGTGACAAGACAAGGCAATCCTGGTCTTTTATGGTATAACTGTTCTCCTTATCATAAAACTAACGGGTGGGTGGATGTTGAAAGGAAAAGATTAATGTCAGATATCGTTATTTGCTGGGGAAAGATCAGCTCAATACACGTTCACGATGGTCGCAGTATAAAAAATATTAAGTGCTATCTATAGTCCATAGCCTTTGTAACGACAGACCGGTACGTTACGATTTTTTGCCAAGAAAAGTGAAGACCCTGTCATCGTTGGTGAGTTTCAGTTGAATAAATTGTAGAAAATAAGCCTGTTAAGATACAGCCTTGAATAAAATTCAAACCTGTGCCTCCCAGACACTACTGCAGGGCTCGACTTAGGCCACATGGGAGAGAGGCCAGGCAGCCCAGCTTCGAGGATCACCTATGAATTCGAACGGGCTTTATTATTTGTGGTCTCAGACAGTTGCTTTGTCCTCGATTTGAATTTCTTAGACGCAGAAGGACGAGCAGAAATCAGTTTTGGAGATGCTCCAATTTTAAAACAGTTTCTAAGCTCGTTGCTCCAAATTAGATTGTAAACAGCCTGATTGCTCCGTTCGGGGTTGTGGTAAATCGTTGTTACTTCGAGTTTGACCATTAAGCCCCAGTCCCTCTCCCTGTGATTTTGGTTGTTTAGTTAAAAATGAATCAGAGTAGGGGCAAAAGTACCATCAGTCACGAGGCGTCGTTCCCCCTCCCACTACGTCCGTTAGCAATTTCTTTTGTCTTCCCCTCCCCCCCTCCCCCCATGTTCGACAGTTGTTTCTCCTCCCATCTCCTCTCACGTTTGTTTGTAATTTCTTCTCCCTTCCCCCCATGTCCGTTATTGTATTCTTCCCTACCCTTCCCCCCTACGAACGGTCGCGTTATTCCCCCCATGTATGACACACCTTCAAAATAACGGGCAGCTTTCTTGTGGACGTTGTTCTCTGTAAGTCTGAGTTTTATTCAGTTACAATTTCTAATCAAGTATACAAGGGTTTTATTTTCCAATTCTATTGCGAACGTGTTTCTAGGTTTAAAAGTATGAGGCAACTGCTCGATGTGCTGATAAGAGCCAGTGGGTTCTGTGTACAGATTTGATTTTTTTCTGCTCTAATAAGCATCTTCCACGATGGTGACTTTTATGTACTTGATACCAACTCGTTCGACTTTGTCATCTTTGTACACCTCGAGTGTGAGTCCGTTGCTGAACAGCAGTCGGTTGTTATAGCCAGCGGTCCTCACGAAGCCTGCGTCATGCGCTGTGTAGCACGACCCCCAGCGTTGATCCAACTTGAGAGTGATGACGTACTGACCGGGGTAGAAAGAATCGCTGGGTTTTGGTAAGAGTGGCTCATAGCTCGAAGCAGTGAAAGTTGCACCCGAAACACCTTCTACTCCGTAGCACGGAGCCCTCGGATCGTTAAAATTTAACTTGTCCACAGTAAAAAATCCAACGAATCTAGTACCGTCTGATATGCCATATTTGATATCGCTGTCCGATCCTTGGCCTATGCTGACGTCATGGACGACTGTGATCTCAACGGTCAGCGGCGTGAAATCTCACAGGCAACCAGCATGTACAAGGGGAACCTTCAAAAGAGCAGCGTCTTGAATCGAGCCGGCGTTGAATGTGAGCTGTGAAGCGGTTTGCGAACGTGAGCTGTCAATGTAGGACGCATACATCACCAGCCAGGATGGAGTCATGGTCTGATGATAAACAACTCTTCCCTATAAAAGCAGTGTTCAAGGTAATTGCTAACAGAAACGGAAAGGCTGCTCATAATTACTGTCAGTGGAAACTCTCCACAAACGGTCATCCTTCTACAAAGGCTAATTTCTTTTGTCTAAATTTTCTCCATTATTCTAACCTCTCTTGAGCGGCCACTGAATCACATTCCAACGGCTAAAATAGGCAATTTACACGGGCCAGTTCATCAATGAAAGTTGAACGGTATAACACAGAAAAAGATGTTACTTCTTTCAACCAGATGATATTTGAAAGCTCATCTCAAACAAACGTTCAACAAACTAATACAATTTGCTTTCTTTTGTTCGTTTTGTTCTCTTAGCAATTTACTCTCGAAAATCGTTTTTTTTCCTTATGATCTATACAATTTAGAATTCAAAGGTCTTAAGTTCTTTTTCTCATGAGGACTAAGGTTTCTTTAATTTTTTTTCCACACCTGTGACAAGACGGACAACCTTCTACTACTATTTCATTACCATTAATTTGCAACCAGCCGAAATCACCAGCGGTTTTAGACTGACCTGTGATTTGTAGGTGCCCGCCGAACATGATGACTGCTGACAGCCAGAATGAGCCACCTAGAAACAAGGACGACAGAGAAATGAAGCCAGTGAGATTTAAAACAACATGCTAGGAATTGAGGGTTAGTGGATGGCTTGGTTGTTTGTTTGTTTGTGGGTTTTTTTTTCTTGCAGGGACTCCCTTTACGGACGCTCTACATGCCAGACAGGTTTCACCCCAGTTTTCATTTGTAACCAGTTGAAGGGAAAAATAAATCTGAGTCCTATTTTACGCGAGCCTCCGACGCATCAATAAAGGGAGGTTTTAATTAACTTACCTGGAAAGCAACAGCAAAAAGAAAGACGACTTTGATCGAGAAAAACAAGATTGGTGACTTCATATCGGTACACAGGTAGGCTGGTTAACTCTTGTAGAGATATTGTTGTACTCCAAGATCTCTGATAATCTACAGAGGAAAATATATCGCACTCGTTCTTTTTAAGCAAACCTCCAGTTGATTTTGAGCTCAAATAAAACTATGTCAGTTGGTTAAAGCAAATAGAATAAGTGATAGTTTATTTGCTTTGTCCGATAGCGTGTTAAGTGGTTAGATTGTGTATGGATACATCTGCTTCACTAAAAGTGCCATTAATCCTAAATAGTCGATTTTGAGATCAAATAAAATTATGTCAGTTGGTTAAAGTAAATGGAATAAACGATATTTGGTAACCAGCTGATTCAACTGCCACAAGTGCCATTAACCCCTAATTTTTATATTTTTATCATCATTATAATGAAAAGGTTAATTTTAAACTGCAAACATTGGCCTTTGAATAACTGCAGTTGGTAAAATATTCTAAATTCGAGGTGGCAAAATTATTTTTTAAAAGTGCTGAAAAGTAACATACTGCGATCGATTTGTTCAACTATAGATCGACCTCTAAATTTCTGAGGTTTACGAAATGCTCCTTTTGATCTGATCGTTTTCTTATAGGAAACAAACAGCTGAAAAAGCTTTAGTGTCTTTCTAATTTGTGCTAATGGTGTTGTCACTAAAAATGCGTAGAAATTTGTTGATTTAGTTTCAGATGTATCAATTCTAAAACTGATGATTTCACTTTGAAAAATTGGACATTTTAAAGATTTAATTATGTTTTTACAGGCAGTGAGCGAATTCTCAATTAACACATTAATTAAGAGTTGTGTTTTAATGCACCGTTAGTGCACATTAAATGAAATATTAATTAGTTTTAGCAGTTGTAAAGACCTACACTTAAAAGTCACAATTTCGAATCCTCTACGTCTTTAACATTCTGTAGTAAGACTTCATTTTTTTATGCAGATGCTAACTTAAATCTCACTCCAGTTTGGGACCACTTTTCAGCTCTCATAAAGATGACAATGAAACGAGGTGGGGGGGGGGTACTTGGGCCAATGTTGGCTGGGCGGATGATGTACCATTGTTTTGTAGAACCCTTACCCCAGTATAGCCTATTCTGTGTATTCAATTATATACTCCATCTCAGTCACTTTTGGTTATACGGTAACAACTTTCTAACCACGAATCTTCCCATTTTTAAAACCCTACTTAGCAGAATTTTCTGACCCCCAATTTTCCGAAAAACGTGCGACCCTCTTTTTATAAGTAACTCTACTGAAAATGCGACCATCCAATGACACATCATCATTAGCAGGAAGTACCCCCCCCCCCTCGGGCAGTGAATAGGCTGTCACAATTTACATGTCATCCATCGTGTAACACTCATCTAACCTACACTGAACCTCGTTAGGGCGAATCTTGCATTGATAAAATACACCACTGACCCTCTTCCCTAATGTTCGCATAGTCCCAATTGATATCAAGTAGAAAAAAAAACCGCAAGAAATATACTAATCTAAAAAACCAACCTTGACAAGAAATTTACAGATTGTTAGAGGAAAAAAAATACACATAAATTTGGAGAAGTGGCGTACCCAAAGCAACCCCCTTTCCAAAATATTAACAAGCTACGTGACATGCCACAAGGAATATTCTTATTTTAATCAGATCGTGAGATGAAAACTAATCGATGTTTACACATACTTTGCCTCATACACGTCGATAATTAAACAGGTGTTGAACAAGGAAACGTGACTTTCTGAAAACGCGTGGTTATTAGAGAAATTGAACATCTGTTTAATACCAAATTCACGTTGAAAGAGAGTATGCTTTTACCGAAAAACAACTTAGTGTAAGTATCATGCTAGTTCAACAAAATTTGTTCTCATAGTGAATGTTGTAGGGTAAAGTCTTATTGTTTTGCTGATTGATGCATTTTTACAGTGTTTTTATTGATTGCCATGTTTGGTTCACCTTGAGGATCTAATAACCTTGCCTGTGTGATGGTCATAAATTCGATTCAAATGAGCACATATAGATATAGTGCAGCTGGTAATTAAAATGTCGAGATTGCTTCTTCTCTCATATTACACCAAAATAGTGAGACTAGCGGTTTAGTTCGTTCTGTTTAATTCGGCAGAAGTACTCGTGAAAATGAGATTAGGTTTAGTTGTTATAGTAATCCTTTGAATCTCGTGAGTGACCAAGGCAGAATTTCTCCTTGCAATGCCAACACAATATCAAACAGACAAGTGATGAGAATAAAGAGAAATATCAATTGGAGGATTGTTAGTTGATCCAATACTCAATTTTCCGACCTAGCACCATAAGAATCGTGTCGCAGACCGTAAAGAGAATTACTTATGAGATCTTAGAGCGAATGGGTTAAAGGACATTTAACTCCTTAAATCATATAAGTTCGATCTGTCTTTTACCCAGTGTAGAGGCTAGGCTAAGATTTTAGCTCAAGTATTACTTCAAAAAAAAAAAAAAAGGAAAATGACAAGCTAAAGAACGCGCAGGGGTGAGGAATTCCTTCGGTCAAACACATCCCCTCTAAGGATCGTTATCTTGGTCAGCTGTGCTGGAACCTCAAACTCGGCGCAGAACCCGTTACAGAGCGCAGTTTCCTCAGCTTGTCCCTTTAAAGTCGGCAACACGCAAACCTGACACTACGGGAAGTAAACGATAAACCGTATATTCCCGATTTGCGCATCAGTACATTAAAAAGATATCAGGAAAACAGTATGGTGAATATGCATACTGATATTAGGGTGTAAAGGATTAAATAACGAATATTATGACCTGAAGATGATATTTAAGAGGAGAAACGATCTTGCAGGTATCTCAGAGCAATTGCAGAAATTTAAGAATGAAGAGAAGCATAGTCACCCATTTTATCGTTTTCAACATCATAAAATCGCATTTTAAAATTAAATTTTATTCGATCCACGCAGAAAATTAAAACAAACTTCTGCGCGGTATCAATTTTTTAAGTTTGACAAAACAAACCCTACATTATTCATTATCATTGCCAAATTTTTTCTTTGAAGGTACAAGGTTCAATACTCGATCATCCATGTCGCAACTTTTTTAGTGTGTAGTACTCTAGATTTATTTTCCTACGAAAAGCTACCTCGTGTGTTGGTGTCAAAATTTGGAATGAGATATTCTAACGAATTTAAAACTTTATCAAAAGACTCCTTTAATAAAGAAATGAAGAAATCTTTATTTAATGTTCTGGAAAATTAAGATTCCTCTTTAAAATATTATTTAAAACTAATAGACATTACATCACATTAAATCAATCAAACTGTATGTTTTCTACCGCTTTTATATAAATACCTTGTTGTGCACAACTTATTTATTTATCGACCAGTTCTTCTTCAATTTTCTTAACCTATAAAGTATTTAGTTTCTTTACCTTCCTCATCTATTTAATAATTAAGTAGATCTTAGGCAGTTTATTTACCCTCCTCTCTCAGCACATTTACTAACTTAATGTCATTTTTTCTTAAATTTTGCAATGATATGAATAAAATGGGAACCATTTGAGAAAAGTTCTTTTATTATGTTTCATAAATCGTGATGACATTTAATGTTTCTGTTTTCGCGTATTGCGGTTTATATAACTATATAATATGCTAATCTGTAGCTGATTATTTTAAAAGACAGATCATAAATATAAATTTTACTGTACCCCTGTAAAATATTACAATACACGATTGACATGGAAAAATACTAACTCAGTTCTCCGAAACGTGCGTTGGCAAAATCTGTTGTGAAATCTCATTTGCTGTAACATAATTAACAATAATGCTTTCCTCATGTTACTGGAGTGAGCAATTAATTTAAAAGTGCGCGAACAGACAATTCTTCATAAATTAAAGGAGCTTTCAAATAATATTAAGCTTTTTTTGGACGTGTACAACCCTTCGACTGATAACAAAAGATAGAAGAAGGAAGTTATTGTTGTTACTGTAAGGTGACGTGGATGTATGAAGCTATATTTTGTAAAAGCTCTCGCTTTCTAAAACAATTCGCCAATAGGAGCATGATTTAGCCAGAGTTGGTGCATAAATGTGTACAGCTTGTCACTTAAAGAGACCTGAAAGAAAACGTAAGGAAATACTAAGATAAATAAATAAACATCCCTTCGCTAATGAAAGCATTAGACGTGAAAACAGATAAAAAACAAGAAAACAAACAAAAAACAAAACAAGTTTTGTAATTAAAAACAAACCTAGACCAAAGATTATTTTAAAACCATCATAAGAAATAAACAACCGAGACAGGCTAGCCCAGTGCAGCTTTAAAGCGGGTTTAAAAGGGCCTGAATTAAAAAAAACAAAGCCAGACCACAACACCGGAAGATACGTTCCCTGCTTTTTGTGAGAAGTGTGCGGATTCTTTAACGTTCCCTACTAACCAGTACAAAGAAGATAAAGGAGATAGCCCCTAAGGTTTATCGTCCTTTTCTGAGAAGACTAGGATGTCTAACCATTTGCGGATGGCATAGCAAAGGCAACACATTCTCTCCAGTTATTTCAATAATTTTTTAATCCTCGACCTCCCGCAGGGCGGTCCGACACTGCACAACATGAGCTAACCAAGCATTCTCGCATTTCAGGCACTCTTGCTTGTTTTAAAAAGATTTGACGTACCTTGTAAGGCGTAGGATTCAAGGCTCTCAGATGGTCTTGCCGAAACTTTGTTAACGAATCCTTCACTCTTTCTTTAATCTCCGATAGAGGTGGTAATGGGCTGCAAATCTGGGAAGAAAAGATGAGTTGTGGGAAAGCGCTTGTATATCAAAATGGGCCTCGCTTAGACGTAGAAACTGACCACACAAAGGACAAAAAGTTGAAATTTCTTAGGTGCAGGCCTAAATATTGAGTATGGTCTGAAGTTTGAATAAAAATTTTCAAGTAGGTGTGTACTTCAGATAAACTTGGTTTAAAAATTTTCGTATAAGTTTAGCAAATATCAAAGCCTAGGTAGTTTTACTTCAAGTCCTTCACCTAAGTAGGTCATCCACTGGGTACCCAGGCTGCGAGTTGATCTTTGGGAAGTTCACTTGGAGTACATGTGGTTAATCTGTCAACCCTAGCCTAAGAACCTTTACATCCGAAGTCTGACGCAACAATAATTACACCCAAACTGGAGGTTACCACTAATGTGAGAAACGTATACAGAGAGAGTAATGACAGAACTCTACTCCACCTTGCCATCTTTCCAGTAGACACGATATAAAGGTTCTACATGGGAAGGACACACATATGCACGCTTGGCCTCATCAAACGGATGCCGGCACAGCACGCGTTTTCCCGGAGACGGAGGCACCTCGTCGCACCTGAGCATGAGATCAAGAAGGGCCCGCCCTGAAAACCACAACAAATTTGTGATGACTTAGCATTCTGAATCAAATCAGGAGTAAAAATTCGAAACGAAACTATCATTAGGTCAGGCTAATCTTCAATAATCCCTGTTCAATCCCGCTTTCTGAAATATGAAGCAAAAAAAAAAGAATATCCCTCCTATCCTCCTCCTACCTGGATGGGATGGTTGTCCAACTGCTGAGTAACCCACTCAGCCCCCCCCTTATTCAAAGTTTCCCTTACAGTTCACCATTACAGATTTACAACCCTAGGTGGAGAGGGACACTCTACGACCAAAGTGTTCTGTCCAAGAACACAACTGAACCTGGCTAGGACTCGAACCTAGATTCTTCGGAAAGGTTAGGCTCTAATAAATCTGAAAAAACTCTAACTTCGTCCGATCAGCATTGGGGAAAAATCAACGTCATCGAACGCAATAAATTTGAGGGTTTTAACTGTAATCAAAGTGTAATCCACTACCGTCTCCACCGTACAAACGGAAGGCCTCCTTCTTTCCAGGTATCGTAACTTTCTCTATGTCTTGGCTGAGTTTCATTCGAGCATCGCCATTTAGTTCAACAAGCTGTCAAAAATAGTGGAACATTTCGAACGTTACCCCGGAGCCTTACGATTAAATAAAACGCTGAACTTTTTTAAGTTTCAGATGTCGACTGCTTCAGAAATTTGCTGGACGAGTAAATAACATTGAAAAGACAGGTGACACTAGAACACGCGACTAACACGTCCCTTCAAAATACGACAAATATAATTTTACATTGACTTCGCGTTTATCGATATCAGACTACTTGGCATGGAAATTATTTGAGTCAGTCTGTGAATAAATTACCCTTCCACTGTCTCGTGTTTGTGAAAAAAAAAATTGACTTGCTTTCTGTACATTGCACTGGCCTGTCTTGCCGACAAAGTCCTGGACCTCTAGAAACCAACTGCGCATTTTGAAAAATCTGGGAAGAGACATTGAAAAGAAGGGGTAACTATATTCCACGAAGAGGCATCGCACCGATGCTCATTCGTGGGCGGCGCTTTAAGGTAATTTTTCTCTCAAATGCGACTTTTGTTCGAGGGTTGAGCTTCGTCGACTCAATACGGCTTCTTAGGAATTTAGTCAATTAGCCTCTCCCTCCTCTGTTACCTTAAAGACACATCCCAATGCAGGCTGCTTTTGACAAGTTACCAAATGAGTTCCTATACCAAAAGAATCTATAGCATGACCCTGAGAACAAAAAATAATAACAAACAAATTAAATGAGCGGATGACATTTTCAATCGATCAAATTCGAGGATTTAGGTTTCCAGCCAATTGAGAAATAGACTAGGAGTAGTTTTAGGTGAAGTCGCGCGAGTGAAAAAAAAGTCACTACGAATGAGGCGCGACGCGCTAACGTTAATTTTTTTTCACTGATGTTATTTTTTCACTCACGCGACGGACTTCGCCGAGAAGGAGCGATTGCTCGTGTTCTTATTGAGAAATCACTAATAATTATAAATATGACATAAGAATCTTCAGGTACCTGTTGATTTAGAGAGAAAAGTGTATCTTCATTAATATCATTGCTAGCCACAATACTTCGTGTAGCAAACCACGGTAAACCAAATCTATAAAAGAGATAAGTACTTGTTTACTAATGTGCCCTAAAGCGTGGTTGAAATGCAGCGAAGTACAATTGTGAGAAACTGGAAACTAGTTCGGTAAATCTCCCATCAGCCCGATTGGCCATGTAGTAAAAGCACGCAGCCACAACGTTATCTTTTTTTTTGTTTGTATCTGCTTACGAGGCGCCCAGCGAAGCGATACACTCTACAAGGTTGGGGTGAAAGATTAAGGTTTCAATTAAAAATAAGCAGCATCTAGAAACATAACTGATAGTACTTACACATCTGCCACTTTTTCTAGAGCTTTTCTGATCTGTAGTGAGGTGTATGACAAATCTCCAGAGTCAAGTCGCACCCCTAAGGCTCGGTAGCCAAAATCGTTGAGAGCTAATGCCACTGCAGAGAATCCTGGGATACCACTCCTAGTAAAAATAAAAATGTCAGTAACTACTGCAACATAGTTTAGGTGAAAGCATTCATTGCAGAAAGCCAAAGTTGGCCATTAGAATTATTATTCAAAGTTTTCACACCCTTTTCCATTTCTGGTCTGTAATTCTCACAGCCATAAGGCAAAATCAACAAGGTCACAAGACACTACTGGGCACACAGATTACTATATCTTAAAATCAATGTCGCTATCTAAGCAACTGCCCATCTACCCCTCCCCTAGCCTGACAACAGTTCACTGATAACAAGTTACCATTAATGTTGGGTTAAGGGAGGGGTAGGTGCCCTGTTGCTCAGATACTGACATTGATCTACATCTTTCTTTCTTTCTGTACCTTAGCACATCATAGGTATCAACAAGTGCTAGGAATGTCTCCGGGAAGGCCACCGCATATGCTGAAAATGCTGCCAGTTCACCGACATGGACCTCACTTTCCAGAACACGCAGCACAGGACAAACTTTCTTCAGCCAATCTAACACTACAGGATAAAAGTCTCTAGGCTCCTTACTCTTATCTGTAGGCTGCAGTTTGCCAACTGATGGAAGTTCATCTGGTGTGAATGATGTAATGAAAGCATGTGCTTGTGTGCCTTTGACTGGAATGCCACATAACTTTCCAGCTAAAACATTACTTGTGCCATCAAATCCTAACAATGAAATTTAAGTAACTTCAAAAACCACTTTATTAATTTCAAATTTAACTCTTGACATGCATATCTCACTACCAAGGATGGGAAAAGCAAAACTAGACAACAATGTAACAAACAAAAACTACTGGTAACATCAATCACAGAAATGGGAGGTTTTTTTTCCTGTAATTTCAAAAGTGACTCTACTACAGGAATCTCCTCACCTCCAATGTAACAATATTTTGATGCTGACAATCCTCCATCTGGGCCCTGAGATCTGCGTAACCCAAACTCAATCAAAGATTTATTCCATCCAGCTGCAAGGCGAAATCTAGCTGCATTTGTAGCTACTAAGCTAAAGGAAAAACAGCAGTTAAGAGTTATATCTTTCATCTGTAATAGTTATTAATTGAGATGAAAATTGACACATATTCATTACATTAAATGTTTATTCTCATTACAACAGAAAATGTTGCAAGCTTTTCATCTTACGTTATTCCATAAGGTGTATTTCACCAACAATTAAATAAATATACTTAAATTGGGTAATTATATTTGATAGTCACATAGCTATTGGGTATGCAGAAGGACTAGGCCCTCTATAGAGTTGTCCTCTATTGGACTTTCCATGGCTGGTGAAAGAGAGATGGCCCCAAGGAAACTTAAGCAGTGATGAAAATAGCAGAGTTGACAAAATTTACCAAACTGAGTGAATGTTCATGGATTTGACAATTTTGGCAAATTATAGTCAACTTCATCACAGCGAAATCAGCTTGGCAGAATTGACAATTTTGAAGAAATTTTAGTCAAATTTGTCACAGTGAAATCAGCTTAGTGGATGTGACGAATTTGACAAATTTTTGCCATTTTTGTTACTGTGTACATTTGTAGACATATCTCAGGAAACTTGGAGGCAAACTATAAAAGGAACTGAGAGACAGAAGCAAGACATGAGGGAAACTTGACTGACAAGTGACTGACTGGCAACAGACAAAAAACCAATGGCACTCTCTGGCCGAGGCTTTATGTGCGTAAGAACACAAAGGGGACTGACCAACTAAAAGGGACTTTGAAAGATTTAAGAGAAAATATTGACTTCAATAGATGTCCATTGGAAAATATGCACTCAACAACACTTAAACAATTATACCTTGCAAAGTTCACTAAGTTGAGGAGAGTTGTCTCCATGAGTTGGATCACTGAGCAAAAACAAACAGAAGTGAATAAAAAAACTACCAAATATCTATGGAATCATTACACACTTTTAAGAATGGAAGAGTGTTATTACTCATTCTGGATGGGATGAAAGAATAAAATGTTAAAATTTCTATTTCTGTTTCTTGTCATCATATTTGCACTTGACAATGTTTTGATATTGAGTAAGGAGAAATTACTTGTTGATCACTTTTAAGAGTGAAAGGGTTATTTTTTTATAATTTTTTCAGTCTTTTTGAAGTCTTTAATAAACCATAAGATAAAAGATACCTATCTTATGTTACATAAACAAGAAACTAATAATTACAATAATATACTATGGCCAAAATTAAATTATGTTATTGTAACAAGTTGTGTTCTATTCACAAATGTGTTCATTCTGTGTCAATCTTTGGGCGGAGGCAAGATAACATCACAGGCCTTTGGTATTTCACATTGCATACCTGGTAGTGGTCCTTCCACTCTGATCAAAGGAATTTTTGGGAAGACAATGCTTCCCTCCAACATGGCACTTAGAGTAACCTTACTTGTGTCTATATCTCTAAGAAACTTGTAAAAATCTTCTTCCACTGTTGCTGGTAATATTGTTTTGAGATAAGATATATCTGAAATTTAAATGAAAAGATATTTGTGAATCAGTTTTGTTGTGAACAGCACTTTATGAGGTTGAAGCCATAAAGGCCTATGTTGATTGAACAGACTTCTTTAGCCTTAAAACTTCCAAGATCTAATTGTTAGTTCTCCCTTCTAACTGCTGCAAATTTCCTTGTAAATTGGTTTGAAGAATTTGGTGTTAGATCGAGATAACAACTTCTACCAGATAAGTTTGGGTATTCTCATTACCTGTTTGCTGGATAATATATGAATATGAAAGAAGAAGTTACATATGTTACATGTTAGTCACTTCTGGGAGTGTCAGTTGTCTTTTATGGATTAAAGTTCTTCCCTGGGGCTATGGGAGCAAATTTTAGAACTAACCTCTACCCTAAATCATGTGACAAACAAAAAGCACTGTTTTCGCGTGACCATGTGACCATCATCGACTTTGTACTGTACAAACAAACACGATTCGATTCGAAAGAAAAAGATTGCGCCTAGCATGGTCAAGTCGGTAAAACTGTTCATAATTAACTGCTGGGTAGCTAGTTCGTCTAAACTGTGGTAAATCGATAATTATCAATAATTAATGTTGTGGTCTTTCCCTTGTTTATAAATATTCCACGGGTATCCGGTTCCACAGTTAATTTAGAATTGAACTGGATTTTAGTTGAACGATTATGATCAGAAAAAGTAAACTTATTAGTTATCTTAAAGCAGCTAGTAAATCTCGATGACGAATAACAACTGTTTAAATATTTACCTGAATCTGAAAACTTGAAGTTTCTTACAAAATGAACACATTCTTCCAGCCCAGCGAAAACCGTGAATTCTCCGTGGAAAGGATTCCTGCGAAAGTACAAATCGAATACCGCATTGTCCAATACTTTTCCGCTCTTCCAATAAGCATAAGCCATTGTAATTTGATAAAGATCCGTTAACAAGGGTTGAACCAAAGGGTTCGAATTCGTTCTATCTTCCACAGCCGCCATCTTGAGGTTTCTTGGAAAATGACAATGCTCAGCCGCCCCTCCCTCACCAATGCTGTTTGTTACATACGGGACTTAGTCGCATCCGGTTTGCGGTTCTGAATGAAAGTGCTAGAAGTGAAGTGTTTATGTGGTTGTCGGTTGGAATCTTACAGCAATTTGACGAGGATTTTCGCTTCATTTGAATTACTTTGATCCATCAGAATTAATCTGTAAGTATTATAGTACCTTTCCGTGTTTCAACAAGGGTTATTCTAGTATTTTTTTACACTAAATTCGCTCGGTTTTGATATGGATTATTTTTTCGAATCGAATTTGATAACATACGAGCCCCTGCTAATATTTATTTTGCCAGACCTTTTCACCAAAATACCTGTGTATAAAGCTATCCTTTGTTTCTGTGGGGAAAGAACTATTGATTTTAATGGAAACTGTGTAATCTTTTGCCTCTAATCATCTTTCTTTTTGAAAGCTCAGGGATATTTATGTTAAATGATTCACTTCCACACCAGGCTTAACTCTGTAATTTCTTAAGTTTCAAACATCTTGCTGTACGGCTTTATGAGAAACGTCCTAAGATAATTAAATTGATTTTATTTTTTAAGCGACAGTTCAAAGCGAAAGGACATTTTATGTAGCTATGATTTTCTTAGAAAACAATCTGGATATAACGAAAAAATTAATTCATCGAATTTCGTCACTGATTTGCGAATGATGTCATTAAGACATCCGATGAGCATTGTCACTGATTTTAATTAGCGGTTGTGGTTGCATGGAAAGATAAACACGAGAATGTGAACAATAAGCAGCCATCTTTACTGGCTGAACTTGGTCAGTAGGAGGGTAGTTATTTCAATGAACCATAACAGCAAACTTTCTTTTTTTTTTTCAATGCAAAATGATTTCACAAGATTTAATCTTATTAATTTAATCATCACAAGTAAATACGTCTAAAGAAAAGGAAAAAAGAGGAGTTTTTGACAGGGTAAAGTTACAGGACAAAGTCCCAGTTGAAAACTGCCCCTTAACCCCTCAACTCCTATTACAGGGCGTGAAATTAATTATTTTTTCTGATAGCCACTTGGCTCCTAAATTCTTCAAAGTGGTAGCCAATTCAAAAAAAGTTGGTCGCCATTTTCAAAGACAAACAAAATCTTTCTTTACGCTGTCAGCGTTCTAGAGAGACCCTCCAAAATTAAGTTAGGGAAAAGATCCTTAACGTGCTACAAAGTGGACACTAGGATGGATGATATACAACATTAAAGCTCATTTAAATCCAAGATGGCGTTTAGTTATCGATCGAGATGCATGTGCTACGTTTTGGAAACAAACTTAACGAGGAAGTTTGCCGCGGGTTTATATTTGCAAATCTTTTTAATTCACTATATCTCTTGGTAAGGTTATGATGAAACGTTCTAGTTGCCAATTTGGCGACTAACTTTCAGGATTTGGTCGCCAAAGTGAAAAATTTAGTCGCATTGGCGCCTTTATTAGGCACAATTTCACGCCCTGTATTAGTGACCAAAAGAGAACTTCTCCTTTTAACATCAATACAATATCAAGCAGGCAAGTGATAAGAATAAAGGAAAATATCAATGAGGGATTATTAGCTGATCCAATACCAAATTCTTCAAAGTAACATCATAATAACTGTGTGGTAAAAAGTAAGGAGAATTGCTAATGAGATCTTGGAAGTAAAAGTGTACATCATGATTTCTCTCCTTTTAAGGATGGCAGAATGTGAAGTGGTGGTAGATGATTTTGTGAGGACAGGAAGGACTGGCCGGCGGAACGCTCTCCCTGATGTATTTGCTGTTGGACATGCAAATGTGACAACAGCAGGACTTCCTGAAGTCCTGGAAAATTTTTCCATCAGTTCTTCAACTCAGCCAGCATGCAATGGCACTTCAAGCTCAGAGAACCAGCCTCAGATGCAGAAATGAAAGTGGATATTGCTGCGGCAAACTTTTTATGAATTATTTGATACCTTGTTGACTTACTATTCTCAAATGGCATCATAACTTGACTTGGTTCACAAATAACTTTTTTGTCGGTTGATGGGGGTGGCAGTCTTTTTTCATCCTCAAGGATTTGATTTTTATTGTTGAAAGGAAATTGCTCTGAGATGGTGTTACATGCAAGTTCTCCTAAGGAAAAGGGGGACCAACTACTGTATGAAAATTCATATTGTGGTATCAATGCCAATTCTGATGAGAAGACATGACAGATTCTGCTGAAAACTGATTATCTGCCTTAATTAGTCTTTTGAGGAATAATCATGAAGAAATATTTACTACTTTGTGACTTATCTTTGTCATCTGATGAATTGCATTTTGTTATTTATATTCCTTACTAAATTAAGTACTTCTGTTCAAATTCAGTCACGTTTCTTTCTGCAATGTTCAGTTGCATTGAACAATATTGCCATTTCATGTGGCAGAGAATGTAGCTTAGTGATAAAACCATTAATACTAAGACACATTTTGATCCTTTTTTGAAAATAAGAATCAATTAATTTGTTCATGACATCAGTTTACATTCAACCAGGAAGCACAATTATTCAAAAGGCTATGTCCTAAATACTTAAATCCACTTAGGAGTAGTCAATTGCACAGGGATTTAATAGAGATCTGACTTTGCTATGTGAAAAATTGTAATGTGCTCATTTGAGTTAAGGAAAGAGGACAGTTCAGTTATAATGATCTTTTTAATTAGCTGAGATCTCAGTTATCAAGCTGGAAGATCTTTCTGATAAAGACTCCATCTAAGTTACTGTGGTGAAACTTGAAATTTTGTATTTTGTTAGTCCAGGTAACTTGGGTGTCATGTTTAGTGTGAATTGTAACAAGGCTGAAATCTCTCCTTGATGAATGGGCTCACAACAGACTGTTAAGTAAATTAATTTATGTCATACAACAAAGTACCATTCTAAGCTTGGTATTAAAAAAAATTTTGTTATCTAAGAAACAGTGATTAACTTTCTTAGGCAAGTACATACCTCAGTAATTTATTCTCAGCTTTCATATATCTAGTATGTGTCTTAAATTTTTATGAACATTTGATTTAAATTAAGTATTGTTCATTGATGATATTGTAAATATTAGAGATTAAATATTGAAATGAATTAAAAGTAGTTTCTCAACTTGAAACGAAATACTGTTTCTCCAATTGCAAAAAGAGGTGAATGGATAAAAACAATTCAGGTAAGTCCCCCCCTTTTTTTTTGAGCAGTCAAAAGAGATTTTGTGCCTCTTTCTAAAAATCACTCTTCCCCTTTTCCCACCAGACCATAATTTGAATTCCAATCAGTGGCGATCCAAAAGATTCTTATTGACACTATCAACTTTAATATTTTGTGAAACAATAGAGATTCTATCTTCAAATAGCTTTGGTCACAAACTGAGGCAAAAATTTCTCTTAAACTTTGTAACAATAGTGGAACATTAAATGAAAGTACTGCTGTGTGACCATGTACGCAATGTCTTCTGTAGCGGGAGTTATTTCGTGCAATTCGAAGTGCTCTTGCTAATGGGGTGTCCGCGAGGAAAGGGTGAGAGTTGTACCCAGTCTCACCATTCTGGTAACGAGGCAGCCCCGTTCGCTAGGTCCTTCCTGAGGGAGGAAGAGTGAGGGTCCTAGGAACGAGGTTGGCATGGACTTGGAAGCCAACCCTTATGACCAATAAGAGTTCTGAGCAATCAGAGTGAAAGCCAATCACGCTTCAGTACGACAATAAGGGTACGGACGTGGTTATGGAAAAAAATAAAACCCTAAAATTTACAAGTTCGTTATATCCAACCGGCAAACATTTCTGTGCGGTCTTACTTGCTTACTGCTTATTTTTTAAATATTCTACAGTAGTAAAATTTTGTATTCACCCTCAGAACGTAATTCCACAGGCTGCAAAAGTGACCTACACCACGAAACTTGCGATGCCAATAAAGCGAAATTTGACGGAACTAAGCGAAATCAGGCGCAAAACTTGAGAAATTGGTCGGAGCTGTTCAAACTCAGACGCTGACGTCGGAAATCAGGCGGATATAAATCAGCGTCTGGCCTATTTGATATAGATGTTTAGTTTTGAAGGCTACGCGCGCGATCTTCAGTTTGCTTATAAAGGTGGCGGAAACAAATGAAATATAATATGCTGTAAGAATAATTCGCTCTGTCTTTTAACCCGAATTAAACTTCTTATGTTTGCACAGCACAAGAGAACTTTTGTAGTCTTAACTATCCTTGATGGAATATTGTTTGCTTTGTTGTTTCGATACAGAGGAATGCGAAAGACGATAACAGGGTTGCAGAATTAACAAATAGATTCCAAGTTGCCGTGCGCCTGTTCAGTAATAAATCACAGAGGACGTCAAAATGTGGTAAGAACAAAAAAGTGGCACACGTGGCGCAGCCGAGTGTTTCACTAATATTCTTAACACATTTTGACGTCCTCTGTGATTTATTACTGAACAGACGCACGGCAACTTGGAATCTATTTGTTTTATATAATAAAGAATTTTAAAAAGTTTTTTAATGATGACGTCATCGATACGTCTGTCCTCCAATAGATCCTAAGTGAGAACCAATCAGAATGCGTGCATAACTGAGCTTATCATATAATAAACAATAGTGCATTTTAGAGTCGCAAAGTAGACGGCAGCGGAAACTTTTACAACAATGGGTTGCTCGCGAAACTTTCCTCGAGGTAAAATCGAGCAAAGTATTTCGATTTGCTCGGACAAAATAGTGCTTTCTGAATGGCATTCATCACGTTAATTTTGATCAATAGCAGAGTTTTCACCCAATAGGTTTTAATTATCTCTTGCAGTTGGCCTAAGTGACGCATACTATGCGGATTTCTGGTTGGCTGTATTCGCCGAGTACTTGGCAACTTTCTTCTTCATGTTTGCAGTTTCGGGTTCCTCATTGAGATGGGAAGGCGCACCTACTATTTTTCAACAAGCTCTCGTCGCCGGGTTTGTCACAGCTTCAATGATTCAGGCTCTCAGATCTGTGAGTTTGCCTCTTGTACATGCAAATCCAGTTGTGTCACTTGCTGCTTTCATGAACGGAGATGCTGGTTTCATACAAATGATTTGCTCCGTTTTGGCGCAGTTTTTCGGAGGTAATTCAACATTTATCGCGTTCTTTAATCCTTAGCGCAAATCAGTTTGTTGATAAGCCCAGGCAGTTCATCAACAAATTCACCTTGTTTGGGTTGTTCATAGTGGGGTATCAAAATTTGGGAGAATCGCTTGACCTCTAAAATGCAGTACTTTTGATTTTCAAGGTGTAACTTAAATATGCACTCTTTAAACTGGAATTAACTGCTTATACAAACTTACCGTAAATTTTAAGTTAAGCACGAAAACATTCAGATACTTAGATCAAATGAACTTGCCTCTTCTAACGACCATGGCATGTTAAGTATATACCATGTATCCGGCTGATTGACATTTTGTACAAAAATTCGATCTTTACTGAGAGCGAAATTTACCAAACATCGCTGCAACTCTCTGTCTTGTTGGTCGCATAATTTCAATTTACTATCTTTACTTAGTTCGTATAGTGTGATCGTCCGGGTGAGTGTAGTTCTGAAAAGAACTGTTGCTGGTGACTGACGTTTCGACAACCTGTGCGGAAGTCATCTTCAGAGTCAAGTGGAGTCAAATGACTCTGAAGATGACTTCCGCACAGGTTGTCGAAACGTCAGTCACCAACAACAGTTCTTTTAGAACTACACTCACCCGGACGATCACACTATACGAACTACTGATACTCCTGGGTTCAAACCATTTACTTTACTATCTTTACATAGGTACCACTTCGCGTGGATGACACGAAACTCGTTTTCGTTGATGAAATATTCTTAAATTAGCCGAATTATAAGAAACCAATCTGACTGAAAAAGAAAAAATAACAGAAATCTCGCTCAAACAATTTATTTCTAAACCAAACAAGGATAATAATATGATAATAATTTTCAAGGTTTTGGAGTGTTTCAGCGTGGTTTTATCGCAATCCATAAATTTGTCACTGGCTTTAACCTTTAAGGCTGCAATGGTGACATTTTGTATCTTAGTATTTATTCATATATTTATTTACCTATTTATATACTATTTATGACCCATAGCCATAACTGGAACTGGTGTCGTGATGGCAATAAGCCCTCAACACGCCCGAGGGAAGCTGGGGGCGACTATACCGGCAAAAGAAGTGAGTGGTTTCCAGTCCTTCGGCATGGAGTTGGTTCTGACGTTACTACTGGTACTGACTATGCTGGCTTCCATTGATGCCAATAAACACGCAGCTCGCAGGGATTATGGGACTGCTGCCGCCATGGGCGTGGTCGTCACGGGCTGTTATCTCATTGCGGTAGGGTTCTATCGCGAACGGATTGTATTGTCCTTTATTCAACATCACTTTGTCATTGACCGAAAGACTCGCTTCACGCTCGATACAAATAAGATTGAAAATTAGAACCCTTTTCGATTTGCTTACTTGCGTTTTCTTATTCTTAAGGCTTTTTTTAATTTTTTTTTCTCCGATTGTGATATGATATTGGCTACATATGAAATCAAACATACATCACTTGAATAGCAAGCAAAAATTTCTACACAATTTACGATATTTTTCCCTTGTCCTTAGCTACCGCTGACCGGTTGTGGACTAAATCCCGCAAGATCCTTGGCTCCTGCTATTTTCACAAACTCTTGGGAACACCATTGGGTAAGTACGCTTTCATTTACTTTGAAAAGGACCTTCCTACATCCATTCGGAGGAGAAGAGGTCAGATGGTCATATCTAGGTTAGAATCTAAACTGGGTCTTTGTACAGCGTTTTTAGGGGGAAAACTTGTTGAATAAATTCCATGTTGCCATGCGTCTGTTGATGAGTGACTGCTAGATGACGTCTGAAATGAAGTAAGAACAAACAGGCAGCCTACGATGCGCAGCCGAGTGTGTCACTGATGTTCTCATCAAATATGAAATTTCTGTAATATATTACACGACAGACGCACGGAAAAACGAAGTCTATTTGTTTTATATGATAAGAAGGCAGGATTTTGTCAATGGTAACGCCATCTGTGCGTCTGTCCTCTAAAAAATCATAAGTAAGAACAAATCAAAATGCCTGCGTAGTACAGGCGACCATATACAAGACTTTACTCACCCAGCTTTTTTTTTTCGTTTCTAGGTTTACTGGGTAGGGCCAATCTTAGGCTCTCTGTTGGCAACGTTTCTCCATTGTCTCTTGTTTAGGAGACGTGAGTATAATCGACAATCGCCAACTCCTCAGGATGAAAACGAGTACGACGATGTTTTATCATCTTAAACTGTAAAAATCTTTTTGATCATCCAACTCCTACGTAGCACAGCTATTTCGGAGTCCTATAAATAACCGCAAACTTATTTTTGTTCTTGATGAGACTATGTTGGCAGTATATATCTTGCGTCTTATAACATAAAGTTGATAACCGACATATCCTGGTTCGCTAAATGTTACGCTTTTAATTTTCAGAATATCAAACCGGAGCGACTAGCCATTTTTTCAAAATTATTCGTGCATAACAATAGTTCTTTTATGATATTGAAATACCTACTGATCGAATTTATTTACTCTTAATCTCTCTCTTTCGAAGATCAAGCTAAGAGACTGTTTACCAAATATGGGCCTTAATTAACTCATTCCAAACAGAATCCGTTTAAAGTTCTTTTTTTCGACAAGGGATATATAATTTTGTTCTTCGGGAATGATTAATGTGACCTGTTTTTCGCGTGTTGCTTAAATGATTCGGTAGAGAATGAATAAGGACCGGATGTGGTGTTCACGTGTGTAAACCTGGTTCTAGGATTGGTTAATTCTGAAAGCGGGTGTGAGGAAGTAGACATACATAGGTACCAGCCTGTCAGCTTCGTTCTCTCCATTATGTATCATTCGTTCGCATTTTTTAATAAATTTTATCTACTAATGTGAAAACAGTGTCTCTGTCGTGAGTAATCGAGAGATTCATTCGCCTTCCTGTTACTTCTGTAGCTCTCTGGAGCCTCACGGAGCACGAGATGTGAAATTTCCGTTTCGCGCACCCAAGCTTTCCCATCTGGGAAACTCTGAAGCGGTCTGGAATCAAGACAACTGTGTTGCTGAATGCTTTGAGCCTCCAAATCAGTGTGGGGGGAGGGGAGGGTAAAACTTTAGTCCCCGCCTTATTTTTAGTTATTCAGTTATGTGAGATAAGCAATTAATTTAACCACATTAACCGAATTATTTACGAGATGAAGTTTCATAACTTCAGGGAGAATCTTTCCGGAAGAAACAGCTAAACGGATCTTTACAAACAAAAATTAAAATTTTGAAGTAACTTTACCCTGAGAAAGAGGCATATGACCCTGGCAATATGTCGGCGATCTGAATTGCAAAAAAACCTTGCCCAAAATCTTTTCCGCTCTTTGCTATGTTATTTTCGAAGATTCTAATGAACCAACTGGTGATTTGTTCTAAGCGCATGAAATTAAACTCGTCAACAGTTTGTCTTCACTAGTTCGACGGACGTCTTTATCAAAACCCAACCAAATTAACTCGCATTTGTTTCAAGACTGGCTTTGGCAATAAACTCAACGAGTTGGCAATAAACTCAATGATGCCAAATGAAAAAAAACGCCGATGGATGCATGAAGATCTCAGTTGCTGTGCACTTCACTAGGTTGTGATTACGAATGTAAACAGCAGGTGCCAGAGCAGGTTTTAAATCGACGAGTTCATCTCTGCTCCTAATTGTATTTCAAGGCGATCAAAAATGAAGAAAGCTAAAGACGGGGCCACACGAAGACTCAGGATCGCCAGTGTTCTCTGCTTGTTTTTCATGACTGTGGAATTTGTAGGTGAGAGTTCTCATTATTAAAAGAGTATTTTCTTTGGTAAAACACCGCCAGAATCACAGAATATTTTTACTTCAATTTATAAATCATGTTTACATCTGGTCTATTATAAAGGAACACAACATAACATGATTTTTTTTCCCAGTCCGATCCCTGCAGCAAATAATGATTGCTATATATCACAATGAAACGATGCTTTTTTAGCTGTGAGAAGCAAATATCGTATACAAGGGCTACACCAAATCTTGTACACATGATCTCACGCGCTCTGACAATTTAAATTGCACCAGGGCTTTGAATGAATGTGACACTTGATCAAGTGATAAATAGAACCTGATTAGAACACATGTACACAGAAAAATATGGTGCTCCAAGGGGAAATAAATTAAACTCTGAATTTGATGTGCATGCTAGAGCATTTACACTAAAATCTCATTGTTCATGTCGGCCTTGGCAAAAGCTATCGATGATCAATGATTCTTGTTCGAGTACCTCTTTCTTTTCTGGATATCAATTTTGCAGATCCAAAATTCACTACTTTGATTTGTTTCCCACGAGATCAAAGACATGTAAGCATTAACTTATTAAATAAGCAAAAAATACTACGAATATTGAGACGCAAAAAGGCTATGGGTAAAAAGAAATTGAATACCAAATTCCTGGCAAGCAACTCTTAAAATGATAAAACTCATATTATTGAGATAGCTTGCAGTCAATCAGTAAGGATAGAAATGGTACAACCCCCACCATAGCTAGATCTAGAGTTGCTGGTGCCTTACACAGAAACGTACATACAAAGTACTGCCGACACATCAATCTACGAATTAGGAGGTAATTCAAAGACAAACATGCGCATCTGTATTCCAAGCCAAGCGCGCTTGAGTTGTCAAAGAAAAATTGTATACTACTCGAATTAACAGAAAAAACGTACGAAGGACTGGGTGACGATTACTTTTTTCAAGGCCCTTTCAATCTTCTTGAGAGTGCTCTTCGATGATAGAGCAAACTTCTTCCTTGACAAATTTTTCTCTAGAAAAATCTACTTCTTCAAAATCAGGCATAACATGAGTCCCGGAAAAATTTTGTTGCACTTTTGCAGCTACACTGCCTTAAAAACTTGTAGAGGAAAATTTGGTGAAAGCTTGATCGCACACAAGAACGTCAGAGTATTTTATGAGTGAAAGATGATAACTTACGGCCCAAATTTCCTGTTTAATTTCTTAGGAGGGTATTTTGCCAACAGCCTCGCTATTATGACGGACGCAGCTCACTTGCTGTCGGATTTCGCGGGTTTCATGATCTCGTTGTTAGCTCTGTGGGTGGCAACCAAGCCCGCCACTACGACTCTGTCTTTTGGCTGGCATCGCGCAGGTAAGATTTTTAAACATGTGTCTGCAAAGGCGTGAGAAAAATTCTGCATGCGAATGCAAACAAAAGCAACTTAAAAGAGCTACTAGTGTATTTTAATCTATTCTAGCTCATAGCCCAAAGTTTTCCTCGAGGTTAACAGATAATGTCCGCGGAAAGATATCCGAGCATAGTTTCGCGCCAAATGGAGGCTATTGTTTGTATATTTGAAAGCTAACTTCTCACATCTGTTTTCAGAGGTGATGGGTGCAGTCATGTCCGTTCTGTTCATCTGGGTATTAACCGGAGTCTTAGTTTACCTAGCAGTTCAAAGAATTCTCACTAAACAATATGAAATAGATGCCCAAGTCATGTTATTAACTGCGTCAGCGGGCCTCATCATAAACATCCTGTAAGTTGCTAATTAATGTTTTCAAAATCTTGCAGTTTAAGACAAAGTGAACATGAGTTAAAGATATCTCATTGTTAGGAGATATATCCAATTTCGTAGACCACTTTTACCTTACATAGGTCGAATCCACTAAAAATCCGCCATGATGTTTAATAAAAACATGCATACAGTCCTGTATGAGATGAACTCTTCAGTTAAATTCAGTTCCTCGTTTTGTTGCATTTAAAAAAGATATATCTGCTGCATATTTAAATTAAAACGAAAGTGCAGCGTTTCTTTCAGCATGGCTTTCTCTCGCCTTTCGTTATCGTGACGTCACTATTCGTTACCATGGAGACTGGTATTCAATTGAGGCCCATTCCAATCCCTAATGGTCTCTACAAGAGCAAATTGTTGGCCAACAGACCCCCAATTGTAACATGATCCCAGCTTATATTTTGTCAAATTAATTGTGAACCAGATTAGGTGTCATACTTCATCAGAAAGGCCATGGACACAGCCACGGATCCCATACTAAAAAAAAGAAAGGCAAAAGGAAAAAGTCCCAAGTCTCACCATCAAGTTTCATCATTTTAGAAGAAGAGGAAAATGTAAATGTGCGAGCGGCGTTTATTCACGTACTAGGCGACTTCTTACAAAGTATAGGCGTATTTATAGCAGCTCTTCTCATTTGGTTTAAGGTAAGGTTTTTATAATGGCTTGGGTAGAAGACTGGTTTGTCGTGCGTGTTTTCACATATTCTCGTAAAGCTACTCGTTTCAGCTCACTGTGGGCCACTGTGGACAATGACTTTCTCTTGTCACTTGATCTTAAGAAACCACGGGCTTAAGGAACGACCCAAAGTCGGGCGAGCGAAAGGAAATAGGAACCTGCACTCACGAAGTCACTATAGCGCTCGCTAACTCAATCCCGTAAACGTTTCCACGAACCAATTGCATCATGGGGAATACGGGAGGGCCTGGCTTTTTCCAGCATATCTGCTAATATTTAACTTTCCATCGAGAAAAATTGGAAGAGACGGGTAACGAGTTCACTAAGACAGTACATAGTTTTTCACACTTTTCATCTGTGAAACACAGATTTTAGAAAATTGGCCATGTCGTTTGTACCATATTTCAATGAAAGTTGAGTTAATATTGTATGTTTATTATTTTGCAGCCTTCATGGGCCATCGCAGACCCTATATGCACATTTGTATTCTCTCTGATAGTTTTAGGAACCACATTAGCTATTTTGAAAGATGCTTTAATTGTGCTCATGGAGGGTGAGTACATTACCATCTGTTTACAAAAGAGAGAAAACCAAAGAAACAAAGATAAAAAAAAAGTTTAATCGTGAATAATAATTGTGAGTCTAAATCTTAATTCTGAGAACCGAGACCCTCGGCGTCTATCCTTTTAGACAGCAAAATACAGATGGGTCTGTTTTCATTTTCTAGGAGTTCCAAAAGGGTTGAATTTCCACATTTTAAAAGCAAGCCTCTTAGACATCCCGGGAGTGTTAGCTGTTCATGATCTTCACGTATGGTCCCTAACAGTGGGAACGACTGCCATAGCGGTTCATCTTGTCATAGGTGAGTTTTATGGAAATGTCCCGTCCTTCTGGTCTAACAAATCTGGTTTAGCCAACTACTTCTTTCTCGAGTCGGTCGAGATTATCCATCCGTCTGCCCTCTATTCTGTGCCTGTTGGCGTGTCTTCCTATGAGTGAGCTATTTTTCTAGTGTATTGGTCTATCCGTCTGGTCCCTTTTGTCTTTCTGTCTGTCTGTCCGTGGTCTCTCTGTCTGCCCGTTCGCCTCTATCTGTTTGACTGTCCGTTTGTCTAGCTATCATTCTGTCAAACCGACCGTCCGTCTGCGCATCTTTTTGTTCTCCTGTTTGTCTGTCGTTCTGACCAGCTGGTCGTCTATTTCTTTATTTAAATGGTTTGCATGTTAGTCTGGTCTGTCTAGCTGTGTATCTGTTCAATGTTCTGTACAATTCTTGTCCATTTGTCTCTGATGTTTGTCGATTTGTCTTTGTCTGTCTGAGTACATTTTTTTTCTATCGATCCGTCTTCAAAATGTTGAATATAAAACTTCTGCATGCAGGTAAATCTGAATTAGGAAAATAACATGTGGTCTTAAAGGGCAATTTATAAACGTCATTAATTGTAGTCAAAAGCCTGTCAACGTTTCCATTTCTATTCAGATGATAGCTGTAGTTCACAAGCAGTTCTGGAAGAAGCGTCACGAATCTGCAGTCAAGAATTCGACATACAGCATAGTACAATACAAGTAGAGACATCGAGCGAGAAAACTGCCGAGTGTATTCAATGCGACGAACCTACTACGTGAGCAAGTGACAGCGTTATAGCACGTGAGGGATCTTGGGAAATATAGCCGCTGGACGGCGGAAGGCACGAACGTCGACTCTTATGAAGATGTAGGTCATATGATCGAGCTTGTTCCAGCTTATGCTTTGAGAAGATTCAGCAAAAATAGCTCAAGTTGGTCATTTGAAATTCGTGTCAATCTTCGGCCACTCGACTCTTCTACATTCTTGCTCAGTCTTTCTCGTTATTATACATAACGCCCATCTGTTTGAACTACATGCCTACGTTTAGTGGATTCCTTCACTTTAGCGACAGATCTCTACGGAGCAAAAAATTAAGGCAAAATGTCGACATTTAAAAAGATAGGAATGCATCGCCGCTCTTAATAATATTAATTGCTCTTCTCCAAGGGGGTCTGTTTGTTCATCAAGAACCTAGTCAACACCATCCGCGTCAACCGCTGACAGAAACAATACTTCTCCGAGACGGTTAAATTAGTATAACTTCAAACTGTGCTTCAAACAACTTGGTTTTGAGGTCTACTGAAGAAAACCTTACAAATGTGGTAACGTGACGGGAAAGATCAAAGAAAAGTTTTCTCCACATTTTAAATCTAAATGAAAGTCTAGACCCAAAACACTCGTAAAGTTTTCTAAGAAAAAGTGAACTTAAAAGCTAGTAAACAGTAAAGATTTCATCAAGATAGATATAACATGGGAGCCTCCGCTTAGGAATATTAAATTTTACTTCTCTTGATGTCGTGGCTTTTATGTGTCCTAACTGTGTCCCGTGAAGGCAAACAAAAATTCTGCAGCTAGAGGTGGGATCAGTGAAAGACGTACTACAGAGCTCGAAATAACGGCCGGTCATGAGCAAATGTTCGGCCAAATATAGGCATCGCCCGGTCAACTCCTAAGATGGCCTGACATTTTGTCCGGTTGGTTAAGAACGTAGAGAGGAATTCACTTCCAAGCTAGGATGCAATCATTTATTGTTATTATTAGCATTCCCGAAGCAAAAGAGGGAAAGACGATACTAACAGGCTAAGAACTTTTGATAAGTGACGGTGGTCGCAAATGTTAGCACGGTCATTCATCAATTATTTGTCATCGCAAATTTTATCGACTGAAGACGGTTTCGGTTTCAACACTATTGTCGGATTTACACATTAGTGTCCGATTTTAGATACTTGTGTCAGATTTTTCTTGCATTCACTTCGAGGTTAATTATACATGTTTCATAAGCGGTGGCGTAATGCGTATTTTCCAGGCCAAAATTGGGTTGTTTCCGTGCAAAATTAGGTTTGACCACAAAAATTGACCGGCGCCAGCAGGAAAATAATTTCAAGTCTTGTACTAAAAATTTTGGAAAGAGATATCAGGGGAAAAGAGATGTCGAAGTGGCCCATCCCACCCATTCTACTCAAAAAATATCCCTTGCATGCAGAGCTTGCCAATTTTATTTAACTATTCACAAATACGTCTTCATTCGCTTATCTTAAAAAGGTTCATTTGTACATTATCATCTCCTCGATCTCTTGGTATCTGAGTCTCTTTTGTCGTAATACCAAACCCGTTTATTCCCTCCTCGGCGTTGCCTTCTGTCTCGTTCCATTCGTCGAGTCTCTTCATCGTCTCTCATCCCTCGTCTCGTACCATCCTTGAAATCTGCTTTATTTTCGTGCTCCTCTTCAGGCATGTCTCCAACATCAGAATTATTACCAGTAATGCCGTGTTCTTCTTTGTACTGCATTTCTAAGACATGCATTTGCGTCTCGATAAGGTCTCGCATTACCTGCAAACAGAGGACCTAAGATAAAGGATTTCTTACAAAATAACAGCACAGGGTATCCCGTAATACCTTGGTTCACAAGCTGTCTTAATAAGAAGGCATAGGGTCACGCTTTATTTAGAAACTGACGGTCGCGGTGTCACGCGTCGCCTTAGCTCACACGCTAGCTTGAATCAGGTGGCATAAGGTAACGCATTATCTATCAACAGACAAGAAGAAGTGTCACGCACTACCGGAGAACATACACCCCATTAGGACCGACAACATAAAATGCATTTAGCATTACGTCACCCATTTAGACAGATTTATGGTAGAATCTCTTAGTGCCAACCTGAAAGAATTAAATCATACATTATTAGGGGAATATTATTTTTTCGAAATCCACTACAAGTGTCAGTTTAGCTTCGACAATGTATTGATAATTAGCCTTGTGACGGAGCAGAGGCAGTTTTGCCGCTGTATCCGTCTGTCTGTTTCTCAGTGTGTCCTTCCTACCGTACGTACGTATAAACGTACGTGCGTCCGTCCGTCTGTCTATCTAAACGAACGTGGTTAGGTGCGTGCGTCCGCCAGTCTATCTGTCTGTCCGTCTATCTCACCGTCTGCTTTTCTGTCTGTCCTAACGTTTGTGTGTAAACGCGTGCGCCAGTCCGTCTGTCTGTCTGTCTGTCTATCTCACCGTCCGCTTGTCTGTCTGTCCGTTCGTATGTGCGTAATCACGTGCGTCAGTCCGTCCGCCTGCCTGTCTATCTCACCGTCTGCTTGTCTGTCCATCCGTCCGTATGTGCGTAAGCACGAGCGTTAGTCCGTCTGCCTGTCTGTCTGTCTATCAGGATGTAATTTCAAGCTTATAAAGAAATTATAAAGCGGATGTTCCTTACGTTTTGGGGATGGCTTAGATCAGATTTGAGTGTGGCCCGTGATTTGACAGCCGATTCATACCTCTACAGCACTCCTTTTGGTGATGTGTACATTTTTCGCCCGGTAGCTCTGTCGCCGACGTTTGTAGTCACGCTGTTCAGCTAACACTTCAAAATGGGTTTTTGGTTGATCACCCTCTGTTCCTACATTCCAAGAGCGTGACATAAATTAGTACGTGACAAAAATTCGAGCGTGACACATTCGAAAACGTGCATGATTCATTATTTCTTAACAAAAGCAGTTTGCAAGAAGCCTACTCATTTTCCGTTGAGCATGCCATTTTTCTTACCTTTAGACTCATTCGAGTCAGAAACAATTTCTAAATCCATCTCCTGTTTGTCTGTTTCTCGTTTTGTCTTTGCAGCCTGTAGAAAAAACAGAAGTCAAGACCGAGGAACCTGGTAACTAATTTTTACAATCAATAACAAAGCATATACCAATATTTAAGGCATGACTCCTAATCTTTCGAGTTCCTCTAACAGTTTTTTGGGTGAACAGAGGCATTATGGGTGGAAAGCAACTTGGCCAAGAAGACAACAGAGTGATTCGGCCAGAGCTTGGACCCAAACCTCTCGAACAAGTGTCAAGAGCGCGCGGCTCTTTCCAGTTTTGAATTTTTTTCTGATTGAGAAGAGCAACTGGTGGAAAACAGAACTAAACCAATCATAGGGTTGAAAATGAAATAAAAGGCAAAGAGAAAGCGAATATCTCCCAGTAATCAGACGAACTCTTCATTTCTGTTACGCAAACAATCGGGTATTTCGACTGTTACAATGTTTTGCTTTTAGTAGTTGGTGATAAACCATAAGACTCTACATACGGGAAAAAAACATTGCAATCTATCCGTTTTAAGTTACCTATTTCTTGGTAACAAACCTGTATCACGTGCTCATAGACAGTGAGCCGTTGTTGGGGAGAGAAGTCAGATATTACTCGGTCCATCGGGAGAGGTATTTCTTTCACGGGGCTTCCAACAGGTTCTGGGTGGTCAGGAACGTCTGTCTTTGTTTCAAAGCTATTGGCTATGAGGGGAGAAAAAATTGCAAACTCAGTTACTGAGTAGTAGCAGATAGGTTAATATTTCCGACTATAATTTAAGAAATAAAAAATCCACAATAATTGTGAAAAAGGTATCAAGCATGTGCAAACACTACAGTTGCTTGTGACAAGCAAACTTCACATCAATTGAAGGAACGGTATCATGGCATACCTGAAGAATCTTGCGTCTTGTTTTCCATCTGAGGCTAAGTGAAAATTAATATAAAAGGTAAGTTTCTTGTACGAGGAAATGCTTTTGAGAAGATAGGACACGAGATTTTTTCTGACAACAACAAAATATCTGAAATTAGAGTAATGTATTGATATAACTATAGTATACTCACGTAGATGGCAGAGTTTTTCTCCTTGGTAACTGAAACAGCCAGAAACTTCCACAGGTTCAAAACAAAAGCCTTTGTTTCTAAAATAAGCATCAAGCAATGCAAGAGAAAATAAAAAAGTAATACTTAATACACAATGAGTTTGCAAAAAACCACAGGCCTAACAAAAGCGTCTTACCATCTCCTAAAAAATCTTTCAGCATTTCTTCCAATCCACTGGGATGAGCAACTTTCTCCTCTTGAAGACAGGACAAAACAAAATCCACCAAATGTTCACTGGCACCATCAACAGAACTGTTTCAAGGGAAAAACACTTATTTACATTGTAACATGCGCAACGTATGAGAACCTGGCAAATGTTGTTACTTGCCAACTGACAGTATTCATACCTTCAATCAAGAAGCAGATTTCATTTTCTGACACCTTTACCCTTTAACTCCCAGAAGTGATCAACATGAAACTTCTCCCTATAATATCCAAACATTATCCAGCAAAGAGGTAATGAGAATATTCAAACTTATCACGTAGAAGTTGTCATCTTGATCTAACACCAAATTCTCATTACTAATTTACAGGGAAATATGTAGAAGCTAGAGAGGAGAATTAACGATCAGGTCTCGGGAGTTAGAGGGTTAAATGTCATAAAATTCCATAATTTTCAGCTAACTTCATTGGATATTTTTTCGTTTTCTAAGCCCACATTGAGATTTTGGCCTAAAAATAATGGTCAAATGATCATTCATTCATAATATTTCTTGCTTTGTTGTTTTATGAAAAACTGTTTTAAGTCTTACAGGTTTTCCATGACTTTCTATGACTTCCACACTAACTTAAAAGGTTTTTGTAGTCTGGAAAATGATTTTGTTCAATTCTATGACTTTCCACTATTTCTATGAGACAGACCCCTGTGATAATATTTCATTTAGCTTGCCAACACGCTCACATTAGCTCTGCAGCAAGTGAGAAAAAAGCCCATAAGATTTACACAAACAAGCAAAGCCAGTCTATTGTAAACACCTAACAAAAGCCTTGCATACTTCTGCCACACTTGCTTTGCTTGCTGACTGAAATCACCACCACTCACCCAGCAGCTAATTAGAGCCTGCTTGTTGGCTAAGCTGTACATTTCCTGTAAGCATACCTCAAGTACTGAACTTGTGGTAAGTTCCCAATGATCCAAGTCTTGATTTCCTCTTGTGACAGAAGATGAAGCTCCAGCTGCAATTGAGAGGATGGTATCTCTTCCCATGCCATTATTGACCTGCTGCAAAGCATTCAATAATACATGTTGGAAAATAAAAAAGTATAGATCATGAGCTAAAAGGTCTAAGTATACTGTTGATTATCCAAGGCCACTTTTCATAACATGTGAAGCAACTAGTAGCATTGCTAAAACCCGTGCCTGGGATGCTCCACAGTCCCCTGCCATTTTTCAGGTTTAATTCAGTGCCGAAAATTCACTGGTGCCCATTTATACCCTTGGATCGGTGGAAAGAGTCCCTATGAGAGAACAAGACACAATGACCCAGCCAGGCCTCACACCTGAATCTCTGGACTTGTAGTTCAGGAGTGCCTTATCCTTTACTCAACTGCATCTTCCACCCCACTGTACAATGCTATGACTGTTTTGTGTCCAAAAGACAAATGGAAAGTACATGTACATGTATGACAGACTCAACCCACATCTCACCTTATCTCATGTGCTGAATCATTGTGACAAGTCCTCCCATCAACCGTCATGCTCTGAGTGTTATGTGCAGATCTTTCTTTTGGTGTCAACAAGGAACAACATGTTGGTACTGCCTAAAAAACAACAGAAATCACCTGTGTATGTGTATCAGATTTCATGCCCTAGTACAGGTATACATGTGCATGCACTGATTTCAATGTTTGGAACACAAAGCTTTTTGCCAAAAAAAACTTGTCAAAAGGAAAAAGGAAATGGCTCTAATGAGGATGAAACATGATTTATATTATTTTCCATACCTTGTTATTGACCCTGATGTGGACTCCAGTATCTAATTTGCCACTAAAAAGACCCATAAATTCAATGCAGAAAGAAGAAAGCATTTATAAAATATCAAAGGGGGATGTACAGAAAGTTTTAAAACTAATGCAATAGTTTCATCTACTATAATAATTCTACTTTTTTTAAATTTTTTTTTGCTTTTTTATAATCTACACTTTTTCTGAAAACTGGTCTTAGACAAAATGGAACAAGTCAATATTGGTCTGTTCATCTTAATATACTATTTGCAAAAACTTTGTACAATTCATAACTGTACATAACAAATCATAATTTTGGCTCATACCTTTCATGGCCATTTTTTAGAGAACTGTAGTGCTTTTCATCTAGTGTAGAAAAGCAATGATAAGAAAAAACACCCAAGTAAACAGCAGTGTTAATGAAAACATTTCAGTTACTTTGTTGCAATGCTTTAAATCTTTAAGAGTGACTAGTGTCTAATTTCTCCTGACAATATATAAACCTTGAATCGAATATTAAAGTTGCAAGGATAAAGGAAATGATCATCAACTAAAGAAACTCTTTGATTGTTCTGCAAATTCTCCTTGACAGCATTTTAGGAAATGTATGGAGAACTGTATAGAGAATATACAGACTGATCTTTGGGTGTAAGGGGTTAAAAAATGAAACCAATGATATTCCTTTATGATTAACTGAGTTATGTAATCCAGCAAAACTTCTCAGCTTCATTTGTCTAGCATCTTGGCTGTGTCACAGACATGTGTCTGCTTTCTGGTGCTTGGGATTTTTAATCACATTTGAAAGAGGGCTTACCATAAATAATGGCATAAATGAACTTCTAGAATAGTTATGTATAATAAAATACCTATAGCAATTGGTATCACTGCCTTGCATGTCTGGTAGAAGAATTCAGGGCTTGTACAGACATCCTGTGGATAGAAAATTGAAATTAATCCTCTAGGTGTAAGAATAATTATATAAAGTTGTTTATGTCCCCACTTAATGGTATCATGTTCATGCTTTGACCCTTGAACTCCCAGATTAAATTTGTCTTTCTCCTTACTGTCAACCATACAATTCTTATGATGTTAGCTCAGAGAATTTAGAATTGGATCAACTAATTATCTCCAAATTGAAATTTTTCTTTATTCTCATCACTAATCTGGTTGATATCTTATTGGTATTGTTAGGAGAAATTCTGTCGTGGTCACTAATGGGAGTTATAAATATAATAATAATAATAATAGTAATAATAATAATAATAATAATAATAATAATAATAATTTAATGAGGGAGCCCAACTCACCATGGCAGTTTTCAGTGGGAAATTAATTAATCAAATTAATTAAATTAATTACCTTAATTGATAACATAATAATAATAATATTAAATAAATAAAATAAAATGTGTTTATATATAAATTTGAAGAGTCAAAATCTTAAAATTTATAATTAATTGAAATATCAAAGTTTAAAATTAATCAAAATTTTTTAAAAAAGTTTTCAGCTTGGATTTAAAAGTAGATAAGAGATGTGTTTCTTTGAGATCAGTTTCTTTGAGATCAGTTTGAAGACTGTTCCAGTCTTTTGCAGCTTGATAGACAAATGTTTGTTTACCCCAGTTGGTTCAAGGAAGGGGTAAACGAAGATCATTGGAACATCTTGTGTTATATGAATGGACAGCTTGATTTTTAATAAAATTAAAGTTAAAGTCAGTTTCCCCAATCAGGCACTTGTGGATTGCAATGCAACGATGAAAAAACCTTCTTGTGAAGAGTGACTTGAGATCTAAACTCCTCAGTGCTTCAGTTGATGAGCTTTGGGGTAAGTGCCCCAGCAGAACTTCAGCAGCTTTATTCTGTAGGATCTGTAATTCTAACATTATGGTTTCATTGTTCTTGTCCCTCCATATAACATCTCCATAATCAAAAAGAGGGAGGATTAGGGTATTGTAAAAATATTTACAGTTGTAAGACACACCTGAGGATTAATGTCCTTTGTTTTGTACTGGCAAAGAGATAAGTGTTTATTGAGTCTTGATGCTGGTATTCTGTGGCTGAAGTCATATGGACAGTGTATCAACTTTGAACTGTTGACCTTAGAAGAGAGAGCACTAATTTACACTCTTGTATGAACTGACTGTAATTTTGCATTAAAAAATCATATCTCGTCTTAAGGCAAATTAACACAGATTAATTGGTAAGATTTAAAATCAAAGTTCCAATATATTTTTTAATCCAAGACTGGACTTTTAAACTTCTGCAAGCAAAAATATTGAAAATATTATATACTTTAAAGTTGTCATGTGGATTACAATTTCAATTGCTGCACACGCGTGTAAGCTTGCTGAGTGAGAATAACAAAATACATGTATCTTGAAATTATATATTCAAGACTGGGTGCGAAGAAACCCAACCTTTCACGTTCGCACAACATGTACCGGACACGGATGACGTAAACCAGAAGAAGCAAAGGGAAGCAACAACACAGCTGAAGGTTATAAAAAAACAATAGTGGGGAAAGATGTTTTCATTTGACTCTGCGCGCAGAATTGAACTAAGTAAATAAAATTATTTTCCTATATTACATTAAACAAGTACTCATGACGGGCTTAAAGGAAAGTCTCTCCAGACCTTCTTCAATAAATCTTCCTTTCTCCACTTAAAACGCGACAGAATTCTTTCCATTTCCGTTGCAGTATGAGTCACAAAGGAAGATATTTCCCGAACACAATGCTCCTTCTTCTCCGCCATCTTTGATCCTAACTATTGGAGACTGGCACGAGTTTATACCATATTAGGCATATGTCATATCCGATGGGAATTCGAAGGCAGAAAATAATATAGAGGAGTGTTGTTTAGGAATGCCTTGAAAATTAACGTTTCGTACTAACGGCGGTAGGTAATTCCAATCAAAAATGGGTTGCTGTGGAGGAAGAACCATCCTTTTCTTCATCTTAGTCCTTCAAATGGTACGTATCACGTTCCAAAATTTCTTGGCGTTGCATTCGGCCTGCTTTGAAGACGTAGGCACGATAAGCTTATCAGGATACACAAGCTTATTTTAAGAACTCTTTAGAATAATAAACATTGATAACAGTGCCATCGCTGACTAATAATGTATTCTCCATTCGCTTTGTTTGTATAGCTGGTGGTTGTGGAGCGACAAGTTTTCGATTTCTTGGGATTCATGTGGGCGCCTATCATCGCAAATTTCATCCATATTGCTTTCCTCATCACAGGAATCTTTGGTGCCTATCAATACCGCTCTGCTTATGTTATAACGGTAAGAATTATTTGTGTGTATGTGGGGAAAAATTCACCAACTTCTGGCTGAGCGGATGATGATATAAACACTGAAGCGAAACACAAAGTTAACATTGCTTCAGCAATTAGTGTACAAAATTTTTGGCATGATTCCTTTGCATGAGTCAACCACTTGCTGTTTCCATTGAGTGTACTTTTACACAATACATTTTCGTGCCGTGTAAGACCGAAAACTGCTCGATCCCTCCTTCTTTATTTCTAATACGAATGACTAGACGTCTAGTAATTGTTGCTGAAAGATTTAGAACTTCGAATTTACGTCAGTGAGTATCTTCAAAACTTAGTCCTTCTGGAACTATTGATCCAATTGATTTTCCGTGTACATTAGCGTTGTCACTGATTACGTCAGAAGGGGGATAGATATTGTATTTAATGTTGTACCATCAACATCATAGGTCCAATTTTTATTACCTTCGTGAGTTACTGAAACGAGTTTTGCGTTACGTTCCAAAAATATCAATGTTATGCAAATCCTGTTAAGTAATTTGAAATACCCTATTGGCTGCTAATTTCCTCTACTATATTCCTTAAACATCATTTCCCTTTGAATACAGACCACAGCATGTGGTATTGTTAATAAAGAAGTTTGAATAATAATTTTCTTACGGTAAAAAATGTTGTAACTCTTTGCTAAGGATTTTACTTGTACTAAAATTTATTCATGATCCAGTCACGTTTATTTTAAGTACTCTACCATTTCAAAATTGTTGACATGTCAATGAGGTGAATTGTGCGTGAAAATTTGATTAAGATAATTACAATAGACAACATTTTTGCAAAAGTTCTTTTTGAATAATTTTGTGTGAAATCACTAAACTTAGAAAATAGTTGATGAATGAAATATTGAGTTTGGTTGAAATATCACAGTTTATATAGGGTAGAAAAATGTTTTCATTTGAATATTTGGCATGATTTCTCCACAGCCCCACACTTCATTATGCATTCAGTTCTTGGATAAAGAAAACAATGACTGAAACAATAGATTTCCTAAAGCTTTGTTTTAGAATAGTGTTGGGTCATGTGCAAACCATGTATTTGTTGTGGTTCAATTTTATCCTTGGTTCAGATTTTATTCTCTTTTGTTTTTGGGTATTGTAATGTATGATAATGAGTTTGAAACAAGGGAAAATTAAATTTGAACCAAGGATAAAATGGAACCATGTCTTAATGTCTTTAAGCCGGTTTTTGGTACAGAGATATTGCAAGCTAATTTCATTTCTACATTTTAACAGAAAAATCTTTTTTTCTTTGCTATACGATTATATTTTGTAATTATTGTATATGTAGGTAATTTAGTGTTAACAACTGGCTTGAAAACGTAAATTAGCCATCGTAAAGAGTAAAAAAGCTGATGTTTTGAGCGTTAGCCCTTCGTCAGAGTGATTGGAGGAATTGTGGGTTGTGTGTGGGTTTATATGCAGAAAGTGGAGCAAGTCAGTCACCTAGTCATCTTCCTGTTTCGCTGATGGCAGAAGACGAAGACAAAAACAGGAAGATGAAAGACAAAGATGAAAGACGAAGACGAAAGTGAAAACAGGAAGACAACTAGGTGACCGATTCTGAGAACACCTTCACAACGTGGAAAGAAATGACAAGGATGCATCCAAACCAGTCGCTAGACACTTTAATCTTCCTAATCATTCTAAACAGAATATGGCAGTTTGCAGCCTTTCCTTATATCTAGGCAGTTCAGAAAGCCATAAAACCCTAGAACAAAAATTTATCTTCCAAATCGGCACCCTTAATCCCCACGGAATCAATGAGCACCTTTCATTCAACTAATTTATTCCTGTTTTCTCGTCACCATATTCCCACCAATGGCGTAGCTCCACTTTCTGCATATAAACCCACACACAACCCACAATTCCTCCAATCACTCTGACAAAGGGCTAACGCTTGAAACGTTAGCTTTTTTACTCTTTACGGTGGCTAATTTACGTTTTCAACCCAGTTGTTAACACTAAATTACCTGCTATACTCTCCCACCGATATAGCACCACAGTTTCTTTAGAAACTTACCCCTTTATTCATTTATTGTATATGTATATTACTACACAGATACTTACTGATGGACAATGATAATTGAATAATTAACCCCTTAGCTCCCTTGAGTGACCAAAACAGCATTTCTCCTTACAATATCAGTACAATATTCAGCAGAAACGTAATGAGAATAAAGAAGAAGATCAATAAGGGGACTACTTGTTGATCCAGTACCAAATTCTGCGAACTAACATTATAAGAATTGTATGGTAGATAGTAAGGAGAATTACTGATGCAATCTTGAAGGGAAAGGGTTTAAAGGGTAAAGGAACTTTTAGTAAGCAATATATGAATTCCTGTTGATTTATTTTCCTCATTTTTTATTTCAGTATTCAGTTTGGTGCCTTATTTGGTTTGGAATTAATCTCACTATCATGTCTTTGTATCTGGAAATTGACAGACTGACTCATGTAAGATTACAGTTATGTTTAGCTTAATGGTTTTATGAATTAATGTTATCATCATCAAATGATTGTCATCTAATTTTTCAAACTTTCAGCCTTTGTTTGAGGTTTTTGGGATTGTAAGTTCTTAAAAATGTTTTTCGATTATACATTTAGTGCATTTGTTATTGGGCATGCAACAAATATTGTAATTATTAATGAATGCAAGTTTCCTGTGAAGACTAAAAACCCAATCAGTTGCAATGTCAGGTCAGATGCTCAACTAATAACTGAGCTGTATGTATAACTGCCATTTACATCTAGTAGGTAGCCTAGCCTCGAACAATGTCCTGTACATGCTTTACAATGCTACAAGGACCAGTTATAGTATGTTCAAAATTTCACTTCTGAAGAGAAGGAAAGAATGATGGATATTTTTAAGCTGAACTGTCATCTTTGGAAAGGGACAAACAAAATCTGATCTCTCTCTAATTTGCAAAGCCTAGTTTCAATATTTGGTTTTTCCAAGAGATCTTATTTGGTCTTGAATGCTGAGGCTAAGTATTTGTCAATAGTGATACAAATGTGCAGAATATAAAATGTTGTTATAATTGTAAATAAAATTATTTTAAAATGTTTCATGATCTCTGGTTTACCTGTAATTAACTGATTCTTACCTACACTAAAAATTTTTCAAAATGTAACTGTATTTTGCTCTTTGCTTGTGTTAATTGTGTAGAAAGATGATTGGTTAAGTCTGAAAACTGGTCATCAGAGCTGGTGGGCAGAAAATGGCATTGGATGTGAAACTAAGTCTTCAACAAATGATGGTACTGAGAGTCCAACAGATGGATGCTTACTTCTCTTCACAGTTAGTATACTGTACCTGTTATCCTGTTGCATGTAAAATTCTCTCTAAGCATATAATTATTTTTGATGATTGTCCTCAATTGTTTTGGCAACTCTTTAAGGTTACTGATGGTGTTTTAAGAATGTAGGGGATTGTAAAAGTTAGATTCAGAGAAACCAATAAAATGAGAAATACTGATGGTGAACAAAGTTAAGATGATCATCCAAAAAGGTTGATTAAATGTAAAGAAGAGAGTTGCTCAATTGCCTGAATCCTTTGCTGCATTATGTTGAAAGAAACATAATTATTGGAGGTATTTTTGTTTGTAGTATGTGGAATCAGTTCAAGCTGCGGCAGAATGCATATTGGCAGTAAGTGGACAACACACTTTGCACCACATACACAATAATTATTCCTGTTCCTGTTTTAGAATTAAATCAATTACTGAAAGCAGTGAATGGTTCTGATCAAATTAATTTATTTGAGTCTTTTTTTGGGGGGGGGGAGAGGGCTTCAAATAACTCTGTCAGAAGAAGTTTTATAATTCTTGTTTGTTCTTATGGGAACGGTTGGATGCAGAGTCAGTGGGAGTCCTGCAAGCCCACTTCTCCTCTTTCCCCCCCTCCCCTCCCCTCCATTAACTTTTAGGCTCGTCATGATAGTGACTCTCCCTACTGTACATCTGCCGTGTAAATAACCTGTGTTGATTTGGAGAATATAGTAATGAATCAAATAGTATCCTCTGGTTGATATTTTGTTTTCTTCTGGTTACATTTCTGCTGGATATCAAATTGTTGTTGTAAGGAAAATTTCATTCTTCATCACTGCTGGGAGTTAAAAGGGTTGTCCCTGCCTGCCATGCAATAATGTGTAATGTATGGGAAAGACTGTGCAATCATATATCTCCAACCATTTTTAATGACTGTTGCTCTTTAGTTTATAGGTTTCTGGTTAGGCTGTTGGGTCTCCAGGTCTTTTACAGACGAAGATGACCATTGTAAGCAAGTCCTACTTTTGTGTTAAAAATTGAGAGATTTAGTCTAAGAGCTTTTTTAGGTTTACCCAAATGTAGCAAGTTTTAATAGTCTCTTGCTACCTTGGCACTTGCTTCTGGTGTGATGTTTTTAAAGTAAGTTCAAAAGAAAGGTATATTTAAACTATGCACCAGAATCCACATGCTATGACTTTTATCGTCACCATCAACAACTATATATGAAATTATGAAAATGACACAATACTCTTAATTTATTTTGATTGTGTTGTTTCTCTGTCATAGTTGACTTCATTGGTGGTTTTGATTCTAATTCTGCTCACCATCCACCTTCAAAATCATCGCGAATGCAAATGCAACCGATTTATATGTAAGTGTTATGTTAGTTTACTTCAATTATTAGCTCAGTTATGAAACCTCAATCAGATTGCACACACCAGGAAGCTCATTCTCCTGCACTTTTCTCCAGTTTATTAAACTAAGATTAGTACCCCTTTCTATACCCCCCCCCCCCCTTGCTGCCCTCTTGGATGGGATTCTAGTTCTTCTCAGGTTACACCCCAATGACTTGTCAGGTTTTCCTGGCAGCAGGGTTTGTACAGCTCCTGGAAAGTCCTGGAAATCTGCTTGAATCAAGCAATGATAAAAGTGTTTAGAAATTACAGAATAAGAAGTGCATCTAGAAATATTTAAGGAGAACTGATTTAGAAATCTTGGGAATGAAAAGGTTTAAAGTAAAATTTGGAGTCAGAGAAAAATCGATCTGAGTCATGGAAAAGTCTGTGAAATTTGGTTATTGATAAGGGTGGACACTCTGTAGCAGCTCACCAGTTCCCATTCATACACCACTTCTGGGGAGAGAGAGGCAATCTTATAATAATGCCCTAGAACAACTGTTACTAAGGGGGCACTTTCAAGGTGAAAGTTCTGGTTAATTGGTCGTCTCAAAAACCCTTTTTATTTTGCACTTTGCAGTTTTAGTATTCAAGAATAAGATGTTAATAGCTTCCAAGTACACTTAAAAAAATAAATCTAGAAACTAACAGATTTCACAACCATTCTTTAGATTTAGAATTAGACTTATGGCTGGTAAGGTTATGGGGTCTTTTAAGTAACAGCCTCAAAACTGCAACCTTGAGGCACTTGTCACCATTTTTTTTTTTTTTATCGTCCAGATTTTTTGCTGACTTAATGCAATTGCATGCCTTTGTGTTTTCTTTATGTATAGGTCCACTTGAAAAAGAAGTAAATTTTGTTGAGAAGTGATGACTGCCCCAGTGGAGTGGACATCAAAAGAGTCTTTAGCTGTAATTTAATTATTGTAAGTTTTAGTCAAGAATTTTCAAAGTTATGGAAGAGAGCTTGGAAGTCAATGCTGAAGGTCTGATGGATTTTTGCTTTTATATGAGCACAGCTTAGTGCTGGCATTCTGGTTAGGCTTATCAGACTGCTGTGGTTCATATGGTTTGGGTAACCTGTGATGGGAGCGGTGGAAAGGCAGCTGGTGCCAATCCAGGTTTAGAATACAGCCTTTGGTTTGACTTGAATGGATAAGGTTATGTTGGGGTCAATGTCTTATACTGTTGAATCCTAATTTGAGACATGCAGAAACATTACTTGACTGTTTTAGAAAAGCTGTAAAAGAGAACAAATTATCTATTATACTAACCCTGGGTCAGCTTAACCTTTAAACTCCCAGGGATTAACATGTCACTTCTCCCTATAATATCCTTGTATTATTCAGCAAACAGGTAATGACAATACTCAAACTCAAAATAGCAGTTGTTTTCTTGATCTAACACAAAATTCTTGTCACTGATTTACAACAAAAGGTGTAGCAGCTGAAAGGGAGAATTAACAATTAGATCTTGGGAGTAAAGGGGTTCCTTGTAATCATATCATAAACCACTTGGCCCAGAGATTTTATAAAAAGCAACAATGTAGCTCATGTAAATTAAACAAGTCAATTTAATCATTTATTCAATAAATGCACGTTAGTATTTCCCTTGTAAAATTTTTATTAGGTTTGAATGTATTAGATTCCAGTGTGCAATTATAATCATTCTAGTTACAGTTGTTCCACATGTGTAAATAATAGTGAATTATTATAATTTTAATCTCAATATCTGTGGGTCCATGTGTCAACTTTCTTGAAATGATGATAACTAATTTACATGGCTGTTAAAGTATTGACTTGATTTGTCTCAATTGGACAGAGTTCCATTTTTAGCCTAAAGATCTATCTGAAGTAGTAAAGAGTTTTATTGCTTATTGTGGCTTTCTCAAAAATGTATGCACTTGTTGATGTGCAGCACATGATGGTAGAAGGTTTTTCACATGTTGAAAGTTATCAAATTCTTTCAACATGCTAGTCAAGATTGTAGGGATTTTCTTTTTTGTTGTCTACTGAGGTCCCATTAATATCTAAGTGTGATAAACTTGGTTTTGTAAAAGAAATTATTAATGTAACTATGAGCTTCACTTTTATAAATCAGTTTAATATGTAACATTACCTTCTCTCTTTTATCTTTCTCCATTTGTATCTTATGTAGTTGTTTGTTAATGTTCATACCCAATAATAACTTTTTAAAACATATGAACAATGTCTGAACCGTTTTAGTTTTAACTATCTAGTTAAGCTAACTTTAAAATAACGCTTTTAATACTTCAGATTTATGGTAGCTGATAGTTAAGGGAACAATTATTTTTGTCGGTTATTTCGTTTTCCTTCATTCCGGGAGTATATCTTCTCCTCAGCAATTGTGAGGAGTTTTCATCACAGAAATAGGCAGTAAAGAAATTTAGTATTTACATTAGTTGTTATAAATTGAATATCGTGTCCGATGTCGTTGCTGCCATCTCACCAAATGAAAACGTTATGTTACGGGACAGTGTTAAATATTTTGTAAAGGCATAGAGATGTATATACACTTAAGTGTCTCACAGGGCCAAGAATTAAATATTGTACGCACTTAGTTACTTAAACAGAAGCTGATAAGAATTGTGCTTCACATAACCCGAGTCGAGTCGAATGTAACATTATTTAGTGCAGAAAGTATGATGTTATTTTATTTTCATTCGTTTGCTATGTCTCTATTTCCATCATTCTTTGTTAGCTCACGTAATTCACCCTAACTATCCGTATCGTCTTAATGCGCTGTTTAACTCTTAGATGGTGTTCATTTTGTTTCTGAGTTTGATTCATTTGCTATTTTTTCTTGCTTTTTAATACTGAATAAACTGGATAAACATTTATATATCGTTGTAGTTCTTTTTCATTTTGTAAATATTAAGAATATTGACTGACGAACTGATTGGCTTCGTAGATTCACTAAACTACTGACCACACTTTTTCAGTGACCAAACGACGGACAGCTCCTTTTGATTTCAATGTGGTATTACCAGAACTGAAATGCTTGGAACAATCTGTCAGAAGATGCCAAGCAGCCAAGAAGAACTTAGATAAATCCAAATTGACGGCGGCAAAAACGAAAAGGTACAAACTGCCAGCTCGCCTTTACTTCTAAATCTTATTGGTTAAGAATGTTTCGCGTGTTTCTGAGTTAATCGCGGAGTATGGCATAGAAAAAAATATTGAAAGTTAAAAATTCGGCAATTCGACAGGTCTGACTGATTAATTGACATCTCGTCCCGAGAGCCTCTCGTTTTCGCTGACCGTTACGGGTGTGACTAGATCGCTTGTTTCTCCGGCCAGGTGACCAAGAGGAACGAAGAATCTGGAAACGGGAAAGAGCAACCGACTGAATGACGGTTAATATCGTAAAAAATATCTTAATAAACTATTTCCATATTGTAAGATAATCTTAAATGTCCGCGGCGGTCGTCATGTAAAATTAGACATTATCAGATTAGTCGCAATTCATTAAAATTGAACGGATAAAGAGATATCAAGAAAATTATGCCGGCCAATTTCCGTTTATGGCATTTGTTTCTTCCTTGTTTAACTCCAGTCTCCGGATAGAAATTGCAGTTCGATTGTTAATAGAATATGAAAGAAATTCATCCACTTCTGTTCTCTGTCGACTACAGAAAAGAATGGATTTCAGCGCTCTTCGATATTGCGATAGCCGCCAGGCGTAAACTAGCGGATCGATTGCAAACTTAAGAAAGAGAATGCCATTGGCGAATAACATTGCAATTCCTAACTTTACCATTTGAACGGATGGGGTTTTTATAACCCAGTGTTGAGCCAAATAAGAAATAACCGTGACTGGCATGGTGCAAGCGATAATGAAAGACAGTAGTAACAGATTGACCACAATGAATTGTCGTTCTCGGCTGACTCTACCCCGTCGTTGTTGTCCATGCGTTGAATTGGCGGGTCTCCATGAATGCAAACGCCTCATTTGTTGCCTAAATGCTCTGAACAGGCAAAAATAGGCAACGGTTAGAAGGATGAGGCTGCCTGTAGTGTTGAAATAGAGATCAATTTTTAAAAACGTTTTATGCGATGCTTTAATCTTGCTGAATAACGAAAACATCCCAGAATATGCCCATGTTAAGATCACACTTGTTTGAACTCTTTTCTTGGTCAAAAACGCTCGGTGCTTGTGCGGAAAGCTGATAGCCGTGAATTGACTCCATGTGAAAAGAAGCAGAATAATGAAAGAACTGTTCATTGTCACCATGGAGATATGCTGACCGATTTGAGCGATCTTTTTAAGATTTGAAATATAGAAGAAATCACGGTTTTTGTAAGCTAAGGACGAAGAGATGAAATACCAAGCGTACATCGGACACGCTGTCAGTCCTGTAAGAAAATCGGCCGCTGCTAAACCAATGATAAAAAAGGTAGTTGGCGTGCGAAATGATTTAAAGGGGTCTCTCCAGATCGCAAGTAAAAGGAGACCATTTCCAAAAGTGGTTATTACAGATAGAACAGCTAAAAGGATTCCCAATATGATGCTCAGCTGATGATAAGTTTCCACAAGCTGGATTAAATCGAGTCTGGTTCGCAATGATTGCGTAGAATTCATTGTGGAGTTCATCTCATGGGCACAGAAGTCGCTGATGCTGCGGAGATTGTTACAGAGCGATGAATTTGCTGTTAATCACCAGGACGATTTTTTTTCTACCGTCAAAATGTGAGACGACTTCTTGAGCTAATTTTGACCTATGAAAGGTAATACTAGCAGCTGAAATATGCCACGCTAAAGGCTGTTAGCTTTTCTTTAACAAGGTGTCTAATGTGAACTTTTCCTACAATAACGTGCGTTTTTGTATTGTTCCAAAAGTAAATAAGATGCTATTCACAGAAAATACGAGATTCACTAAAATATAAAACTCGCATCACTTATCAACCCAGGATATTGGTAATTTTAAACTAAATAATTAGATTTTAAAGATTCCGGTCCAAAGAATAATCAAAACTTAAATGATTCTGACAAACCGGAACTTAATTACTGATAAACTAACTCGCTCATTTGTTTCGTTCACGCGACTTTGTATAAATTGGCAAATAAATCTTGCGAAATTTCAGCTTGCGTTTGATCATCAACAAATATACCACTTTTTTAACAATTGCCTACCAGTTAGCTCTCTCTCCCTTTTTTTTTTCTTTTTCCAATTGACATATTTTTTTGGAACTTAACAGATTGAACTCTCCCTCAGAATCAATTGAATACCCTTTTTTATCGTATGAGCCGTACTACCCCGCACGCTCAATCTCATAAAAAAAAAAACCATGGTGAAAGCTAATATATATAAGGCTAGACAGATTAATGTGAGCCGGTTCTGAAAAAGCCTTCGGGCCTTGCGCGCACAGGGCTCTCCGAGAACGTGGATTGAAATTGTGGACTTCAGCTGACTGAAATCAAATGTGGGAATGAGTCGGGCTTCTCAAGGATTATTTCTAACTGTAGATTCTCGTAATAATTGTTCAGTGCACACTCTTCTTTTGTATGCGCGCAAGTTATTTACTATTTAGGTTCAAACAAAAGTTTCGAAATTTTCAACACCTAGTGGTTACATTATAAAATGCCATGCTCCTAACAGACGTCAATACAAGACTCCGGTGGATGTAAAACAGGTCGGTGAGGGAGGGGGGACGGGAGGAGGGGGGGGGAGGAAGGGGTGTCTTACCCACAGCCTTGTTGTGGGTCGTGGTGTCTTTTTTTCAGGATGTAATTTCTGAAAAATAATGGTTCTCTAATATTGGAGGCCTTATGACCATAACTGCCGTAGCACAACCGTAGCATAACTGCTTGCATATTCCACCCGGGATTTAGTTCGCTACCAAACCATTGTGTCAGCCTTTAATTTAATTTAGGCTTCACAAGAACCTTTTATTAGAAACCATTTCTATAACAAATGGTTGTGTGACTCGACTTTCATTTCTTCAAGGATTTCCTGTGTACTTAGTGTTAATCCAAGATTTGCGAAGAATCTATAGAACATACATTTCGAGAAAAGAAGCTCTGGAGAAACAAATGATATTGACAATTATAAAAATAACAAATCAAATCGTACAGTAGTACCAAAGTTTTCGAATGTTTACAGAATGACACAATTCTAAGTGAGCGTTTTTGTGCCTAACTTATTCCAAAATTTTCCCTTTCCAATTGTTTATCTTTCCATAACAAATATATAACATCAAGATGCTTCACATGAATTTGAGCGTTGCGTTATCCGATACAATTCTTTAAGCATAAGATTTCTACCTTTTCAAGGGGAGCAGCTGTTTCTAGAAAGGTTGTCGGAAAAAAGGACAAAAGTGCACGCGATCATCTCGAAAGGTTATCTAGGTATCCGGTACAACATGATTTTTAAGAAGTCAGAGAAACGAATAAATTTACCAAATCTGCTATATTTCGTACTAAAAATGTTTCTCAGATTTCCCTGAAATCCTAAGGTAAAAAAAAGTATCCGCGATACCTTTCGCGTGCACGACAACCTTTCCTGAAACAGCTGTTTAGTACAAACTTTATGACCTATCTACCTTACAAAGAAGTGTTCTTGACAAATCGTGATTATCGGAATATGAAAATAAAAACTAAAAATTATTAACCAGAAGCATTTTCTATCTTTACAAAACTTATAAAAACGGTAGTTGCTATCTCAGTTAGAAGTTGGTTTTGCACGTAATCATATTGAGGTTACCATAATTTTTGATGAATTTGGGAAGTAATTTCTTTCCGTCATCGGTGACGATTCATATGCCTCCGGGGAGGGGGTTGAGGACGAACTCTTCCGACTTCCACTAAAACTCGCCCCAGTCTTTCCGATGTCAGAATCCTCCTCGTGTGCATCTGTTGAGTATTCCTGTGAAACAGATCATATGACGTGTATTAGGGGTGGTGTTTAGGGGGAGATTGGAGTAGTCCTTCACAAGTAGGTACAAAGACGATTATGTCAAAGAGTCCTGGGGAACTAAGGTTGAAAAATGAAAACCGCTCCAACGTGGAAAAACGAAAATTCGCGATTAGGTTGCGGTTCGGTGTTCTCCTGTTGGATCTGATGGGCCGAGGGGATGGCTTGAATTTTCCAGACCAATCATTAAGCGTAGTGCATCAGAAGCTATACAATCTCAGATCATCTCAGTTTATCACTCAAATATCACCTGTAAGCTGTTCCAAAATACCTCAAGTCTATATTGATAAATAAACCCTTCTCTTTCAAAAGGGGCTTTATAAGGCCGAGCACCTCAGCCATGACATAGGTAAGGATTAATATGAAGATAATGAAATAAAATCAGAATTAAAGGTATATTACAAATAAGGTTAGCATTCACGTCTTTATCCGCAGTTCAAATATATGACTTTCATATATTCTTAACCATTTATTCATCACTTCACGGGTTTATTTAGAACCAACTTCATGACTAGCTCCCAGTTGGCTTGTTAGCTCAGTTGGTAGAGCGCTGCACCGGTATCGCAGAGGTCATGGGTTCAAATCCCGTACAGACCTGAATTTTTTCAGGCCTTATTTTCACTACTGCCTAAGTAGTGCACATTACTGCGAGGTTCACTTTCATTCACAAATTTAAAGATGATTGATGGCTTAAAATACAGACCATTGAAATTCAAGTAGGAGAGAAGTTGATAGAGGAGTAAAGATTGATTGAGAAAAGAAGGAGCAAGAGAGTAGCAAAGTCGTACCAGCAGAAGAGTGAACTGGTCTTGAAGCCGTGGAGTGCTACTCATACCTGTGCCTCGTACAGCTCCTCTCTACCTTCTTCAGCTATGTGGAACGCGCCTCCATAAAATGGGGATGGTTCTCTGCAACGAGAACAAGACCACCTGTCAAAAGCGCTCGTATTATAGGGGAAAATGTCCCATACAACGAAAACAAAATTGTTGCTTATCTAAAACACCGAAATTCGAGATTTATTTGTACACGAAATGTCATATATAAGTGTTCCCATGGTCACGCCGGCGTATCATGGCAAAAATACAGCAAGATTGTTTACGCCATGCCTACAGCTTGTTTAAGAGAAACGAAGTAAAGTTGCTCAGTTTAAGACACTTTCAAACGCCTTAAATACTTATTTTTCTATTTTCTGTACTTGCCACCCTTATTCGGTTTGTTTGAACAAAAGGAAGAAAATAAGTTCTGTTTAACAAGGTCGAAAAGCAGTACTTCTTGAAACGAAACAAGTAACAATGAAAGGTTGATTTGTTTGCTCAGTTTATTTATGGGATATTTTACATGCGCTCGACCCAGTTTCCTATCTCTCATTTTAAAGATATGAAGGTGAAAAAGATAAATTTGAAAAAGATACTGTTCGAGTTCTATGGAGGAAAGGGGGGGGAGGGGATAACTGGAGAAGGAATTATCCCTCGTCTTTATGAAGAAAAAACGCTTTCTTTACGTTTCTGTTCATAATCTGTGTTACTGCAGAGAACATATATCATAGCGGCGATACATACACTGGTGCGTCCTCTTCATCAGTCTTCATGCCCCAGTTATGATACGGGTCAACCCAGATTGGGTTTGATCTGAAATTTAACCATAACGTCAGGGACTGGTCATGATATATCCCCAACAAAAAAGGGGGGAAGGGGGGGGGGTGGAGGACTTGTTTGAGTCATAATAACTTTTACCTGATTCCCTTCTAAGGTTCTGTAATATTCTAATAATTCTGCTGTGTTGGCAGTCAGTCCACCTTTAATACTCTGTTTAGCAAGAACTGATCCTCCCCTTGGGTGATTTCATGAATTTTTTTCTTCAGCGGTGCAATTTAAACCACACTTTGTGACACACTTTTGCATAATATCAGAGTCTTTCCTGGCAAGGTACTTGAACGGAAAATGGACTGACTAGATCCGGAAAGCGTCAAGAGGGTGTTAAACTTACCCCTCAGAGATGTGCATATTCGACGTAGGAATAGCTGATACTGTTCCATTATTGACGGAGCGTGATCCTGTTCAGGAATGAAACAAAGATTATTTGCTCTTTATGGTAGAAGATTATGACATCGCACGTCTCAGTCTTGGTTTTATCGAAAAAAGTAAACGTAAAGGGGAACAGAAGTTCTCAATCGTGACTATTTTACATGAATGTAAACGCTTAGTGTGTTTTTCTAGGATTGAAAACTGCCATAAGACCCGGCAAAGGAGTGTGTTTCAGGCAACACAAAAGAGATAGGATAACTTTTTAAAGCTAGGGAACCCTAAATCCAAGAAGGAAACGAAACCAGAGCACTAACCTCCATAACTAACTGCAGTCGCCGCCCTTAATTTTCTATTTTGCCTAAAATTTAAAAACATTTAAGAAAAATGTTAATACTTCAATTCTATTTCGATGCATGAAGATCTGTATTTATGACAGCTATTTTTGGCCCTAAACTGAATTTTGCTCTTCTTCCATTTTTGTAAAGCTTCGTATACAAACTTCAATGTTTCGCAAGAAGAGGAGGCTGACTGCCTAAAATAACATCCACTTAGACATCATTCAGATATCAATCTTTTACGTGCTGAGTTATTCGATAAGCTTCTCCCATTTCTTCAATTCTAATACCAGAACTTAAACCTTTTCACAAATTTAGTTTCAAGTTTCGTGATAACGATAAGATTTAATCTTAGAATATGATCTTAAATTTTCACTCCCTACCTAATAAAATGTTCTCTGGTATTGAATTCGAATGTGATAGTTATGATTTTCTATCAGCGTTATATCCCGAATCCTGTAATCTGATTGGCTACGGTACTCGTTGTTTATTTCGTAATATACAGATAATGAGTACAGTGAGTAACATGTGGTGTGATTCATCTGAATCATAAAATTATAACAGACATGAGTCTGCGTTATTGTTATGTTTTGGTCGGCTAGTAGATTTACACTTGAAAAAATTAGATTATTTGCTTTCGATACCTATGTGTTATAGCTCATTAGCGTTTCGCCCTCATCAACTAACACGCGATAGAAATCTCTCGTTCAAAATCTAGTTATTACTGAGAATACGCATTCAATCGCCCGCGAGAAATTTCTGATCGTGAGCTAGAGAGACTAGGTCAAGTACATCTGGTCGAGGCTAAGTGGTGAGCTTTTTCGGGCCAAATATTTATTATATCAGCGTGCAAAGTAATCTCACCTTGTTTGTCTTAATCATGGTGTTTGTTTTGATTTTGTTTTTTTTTTTTTTACTATCATTAGAAGCTAAAATGAAAAACGCATCGAACTTGGGTACATTAAAGCTAATTGATGTCAAAAGAAGATTAAGACACATTTGATACCTCCTCCTGAGCTGGAAAACCACACAGCAAAATATCAGAATAACTATGAAAAGGAGAATTCCAAGACTAATGACCACAGCAAGCACTACGGGAAATTCGTCATCTTTCTGGTCGTCGACGTGAGCCTGGCGATCAATGCAAACATACAAATTATATTTTCTAGAGCGCTTAATTACTGGTCAAATTTATTTAATGGTGATTAAAAATGGTGAAATTTTACAATGCTGTGCTTAAAGGACAGGCATGTTCCAAAAACCACATATTTGTTCTCGAATCCTCCCGTGTTTTGAGAGATATGGCTATGGACCATGCCATTTTGTCGGGAACAGCTTGGAATCCCGACCGCTCGATTGTGACATCACAGACTGTCACACAGGCCATATCTTCAAATTTTCTGTACCAAATTATACCGGGCTTATAGCTCGTGTAAGGGAAAATAACTTCCAGTATGTTTAACTGCTTGCTTGTCAACTGACGTTGGTTTACGTTACTGTTGAACAGGCAACCAACATAATCTAACATACCTTTACTTCTTTTATTTTCCATTCATTGAAGAATCCAAGATGCTTATCGTAATTGTTGTCTATTTTGCTACGAGGAAAGAGATGAAAAGAAATTAATGAAATCCACCGGGTTCATTTTAAAAGACAGAAACAACAGCTTAATGAGTTGAATTTCTTACTCTATTACGATTTCTTTGTCGACAACTTTGTTAGTTTTGGGATCCACAGCATGGAAGAGAACCGCTGTCCTAAGTGAATAAAAAAGAAGGAGTGAGTTTGAAATAATCTTACTTAGAAACGTCCACGAGAATGAAAGTCTTAGGGTTTATTTAATTATTGATGTATTTGTTATTTGCAATATCTAGACAGGCTGGCTCAGTTTCGATTTAAAGCAGTAGTAGTTCGCGAGAGGGAGGTAGTCTCGGTTGCAGAAGGTCACCAGTAAAAGCTGATGAACCCTTTTGATGGAAGGCGAGCGCTCCTAACAATACGCCAATACTGTTCCTCTTATCGATATTTAGCAAAAAGAAGCCTTTTAAATCATCTTAAGTGTCCAAATGTTTGACTTAAGGGGTGCACTTACCTTAAATATTGACTTACCTTTCATAATCGTAGTTTCCATCTTTATCTTTGTAATAGTTTATGTCATCTATGTTTATAATGTAACCGGTGATATTCTCCAATACTCTAAGAGAACACAGCACAACGAAGAGGAAAATAAGTCTGACTGCTAAGTAAATGTACAGAACAAAAACAAAGCAAAATTTTCTTCACTTCGTTTTTTTTGTCAAAAAATATCTAGAATGTTAAACGTTTTGGAATGTGATGCCTTGAATCGATTGGCAGCTATCTATAGCATATTGATTTGCTACCAGAATACTTCTCAAATACATAACAGCTCTGTGCTTAATTAAATTACATCAGCCTTATTTCTTGTACCTTTTTAGGTCTGCTTGATGTTTTCGAATATATTCAGGAGAGCGTCCAGATATTATCACAGCTCGTTGAATATCCGTGAGTACATAAATCTAAAATGCAGAGAGAGAACATCATTCAATTCTTTAAACTACGCAACCTGAGCTGTTTGGTGTGGAAAACCCGCGCCACTTTCTCAAACTCGACTTTATCCTCGCGTTTTCCCGCCATTAGAGAAGTTTTCAGGTATTTATTTTGACATCTCAGTTGATAAGCTACTGTGTATTACTGTTTCTGGTCCTGCGACACTTAATCGAAAAATGCTTCAAAGATTAACTTGCCTTGACTTCAGCAGTGTCGTTGAAATACGGCTCTTCCCCAAATCTGTCCTTGGCAATGACGTTAACAACAAACTGGGCCCCAAACTTCCCTGCGTATGACGCCTTTGCTTTGATCCAGCCAGTTTCTCGATTCATACTGAATTCTTCGCTGTCCTTAGTTTGTAGAAGCTCGTACGATATACGGCTATTGTTTCCTTCGTCAGAGTCTACGGCCTGAGAATTCAGACAATAATCAACGGAAAAAAATTGAGTTTTTCTTATTGCACCGATAGTCTCGCAAAGGAAACGCGATTTTAAAACTGATTCTCCCCCCACGACGAGGTAAACGTAACCTCCTTGATAAACTAAGCAAACTATCAAAATGAAAGCAGCTGGGACGTACTGGCATTATATAGTATAGTATTATACCGTAGCTCTGTTCCAGCTAAATCCGAATTTATAAATCGATGATTGGAAACATCAAGTTGTGCTGAACATAACAATCCTCCCTGACTGACCACTAGGGGTAGAAAAGTTGCAATGCCTGGGCAATTAAAAGAAATAACTTACAAAGACTTGTATGATGTTGCTTCCATGTTTTGCATCTTCGGAAACTCCTAAAACCGAAACGACAAAGAGCAATGTTACAAAGGTATAAATTTGTTTTGCGAGACATGAACGCCGAAGGCAAAAGTACGAAAGCCGAGGAGTTGGGAGTCAGAAGTCGCAAGTCGAACAAAAGTTGAAAGTTGAAAGTCGAAAGTCGAAAGTCGAAAGTCGAAAGTCGAAAGTCGAAAGTCGAAAGTCGAAAGTCGAAAGTCGAAAGTCGAAAGTCGAAAGTCGAAAGTCGAAAGTCGAAAGTCGAAAGTCGAAAGTCGAAAGTCGAAAGTCGAAAGTCGAAAGTCGAAAGTCGAAAGTCGAAAGTCGAAAGTCGAAAGTCGAAAGTCATTAGAAAAGAGTCGAAAGTTGAAAGTCGGAAGTCTCTCCTCGGCTTTCGTACAAAAGTATTATTTTTCTCTAAATCTAAAACAATGTTAAATTTTACCTCCGGTGTAAAGCTTCTTTGTAAAGCGAGGACCATTATCGTTTTGATCCGCGATTTCCACAATCACCAGCTGTACGCCAAGATCATCTGTGTAAATAACATTACATATTGAGAAATATAAAAAAATTAAAAGTAAATATCCAATCAGAAGAAATGGTTAAACTTAATTACCTGGCAATGGCGCTTGAGTCGTGTTAGTTTGATTTGAACCTGCATCCGGGGCCGCTCTTCTATTCCTCGGCTGAAGGGAGACTGGATCGAGCTGAAAGCGGTAAGGGACGACACCACTAAATTAAGATTATCATGCAAGGTTTACCAACTCCGAAAAATTTCAGTGTGTAGAGGATCATTATTGTTGTGAACGAACCTTAACATTCGATGATTTTATGTACAGGAAGAACTGCGCGTTATCCTCCCGATCCTGTCAAGAACAAACTTAGATGTGAGCATGTTTTGTACTTTGTAACCTGTTAATCAGCTTCAGTGATAAATTTAAATGCTCGAGTTAAAAATTGATATTTTACAATATCATATATTTCAACAGCACTCACGGCTTGTCGAGTTGTGCGCAACACTCCAGTCGTCTCATTTAGCGTGAACATGGCTCCGCTATTTCCACCTGTAAAGATTAACATGGCGATATAGAGTAAATAAACATATAAATAAATAAACAAATAAATGAACTATTATGCATGATAACTTTGCCTTCCAGGATGCAGGAAGAGGACTATTTAATAATCTCATTTCTTAATATGCATACAGTAAGACACACAGAAATTACTCATTGGGTTGCGGAATAGATTTATGCGAATAAAGAGGAACAACTTTAATTTCATGTACTTTGTATGTAGTAATATATGGGTCCACCCTGATCTGCATCGAAAGCTGCTATCGTTCCAACTTCAGCTCCTGCTGGGAGGTTTTCGCCAACTGATAACGTGACTTGACGCTTAAGATGAACAAAACAAACAGTTGTTTTAAGAAGATTTTAAACAATTAAAACAACAAGTCAAATTTCCCTATTAAAGATCTTTTTTTTAATGCAAATCTGAAAGGCTTCAGATTCAGAACAAATCCTAGTTTTAAACCTGTTCTTTTATTTTAAAAATGATGGCACTTAAAAAATAATCTCTGCCTAGCTTACTTAAATACAAAACCATACTGTCAATAATTTGACCGCGTAGACATTGAATTACATCAGTATTTAAGAAAAGAAAAAAAAAAGAAAGGAAATGAAAAGAAATGAAAAACAATCCCTAAAAGACTGATAAATTCAGATCACTCAAAACTAGCACAATTCTATATCAAGCATGATTCCATACCTTGACAAACACGGGAATGTTATCGTCAATATTCACTAACTCAATGGTTATGGTTTTTTCGCTTGATAATGGAGGACTTCCAAGATCTTGAGCTTTAATTGCGAGCTGAAGTAGAAACGTTGAAAGTTAAGACAGCTCTTCCCTAAAATTCTCTATTCCGTTTTTATTATAATTATTATTCTTGTTACTAGTTTGCATGTATTTGCAGTTAAATGATTGATGATGACAAGTTGGAGATGGTACGGCTGATGGTGATAATGACCTCGACGTTATTTTCCATCTTACCGCGTCTTCTGACTGTTACTGCATAAGCACTGCCATGATCTGGCTCCAATTAAACCAGTTTCGACAAATTTCATATTATTTCAGCGAAGAGTATCTGGTATAACACATGCAATCTCCTTTGGCCTTAAAAGATTTCTTATTCTTGGGAAAAAAACTCAAGACTAGCAGAATTTGGTTGAACGTAAATTATAGTGCATCTTTACCTTGTAGGATTTCGGTTCTTGATCATAATCAAGACTCTTTGTTGTTCGCAGTTCGCCGTTAGTTTCATTCAGTGTGAACCTCTCGTCATCGTTCCCACTTATGATGGTGAACTTGACCTGCGCATTGACATCTTCGTCTCTGTCCGTTGCATTGATTGTTGTGATCAGTGTACCAACTGTTGCATTCTGTAGAGATAAGATTTGCTTTATCTGTCACAATCATTAAGAGAAAGAGTTTTGGCTGGCTAGTCATTGCATTGAATCAGTTCGTCATTATAGTGATCTGTCTCTCGGTTAAACAGACAGATAGATGATCAGTTGGGTGGTCATGAGCTAGTTGGTGCGGTTTCTGTAGGAAAACGAGACTACGAGTGCCCTAGTACCTACAGATAGGATTCTTCGATAGGTTAACAAACCGGATAAGGATAGGTCAGCTTTCGATTCAGTAGAGCTATCCTGTCTGAGATTGGACCCCGTTTCTGTAGCGTGAAGGAATTCAGAGTATTTGGCTTCCATCTGAAAGCAAAACTAGTTTTACGCAGGGTTTTAGCCCTGCTCTCTCTCTCATACTCAAAGCAGCTTACGTCCTGCGAGGAGGCTTTAACAATTCACCGTACGTTCTTAGAATCTGTAACGTTAGTTTGCCCTTCTAGAACAAATCACGCACCTACACCACACAGCTAGAAACTAGAAACGGAAATATCTTTCCCATTGCGTATTATATCTGGGCTATTGCCTCGGTGTTTGAAAAGTGATGAGAACCGTTTCTCACGTTTCTTACACTGCATAAAAATGACGTTTAAATATACCTCAAGCACAGAGAAAACTTCTTGTGTGTGAATCACGGGAATGTGGTCATTGACGTCAACGATGGTGATATTTATCGTGGTTTGGTTCATAAGCGGAGGCTGTCCTTGATCGGCGGCTGTCACCAAAAGACTATAGAAGTCTCTTACTTCTCGATCAAGTGCCTTGGCCTTCAGCAACTCGCCGGTAACGTTATTTAACGTAAAGACTCCTGACAAAGAAAAAAAAAAGGTAGCCATTAAGATTCAATTACTTCGTCTTTGGATAATCTTGAATAGACAAGTTTTATTGTTTCAAGTCAGATTCATACTGCCATAGAGCACTTTCGTTTACACTGCGTTAAATTCATCGAAATTTTCCTTGGCCGTATTCCTCTGTACGGCCCACTAATAAAGTTCGTTTGAATTGAAATCTTCTCCTTCTATTTGAACCCAGAGATATGATAAATATCTGACGAATTCCGTTTTCTCGGTCCGTCCATTAAGTTAGAGAGTCTCGTTTTTTCCGCTCGGATTCTTGGCCCGGGCGTCTCGCACATGGACCATAAACCCCTGTTAAGTTATTCAGTCCGTAACTTGCTGCACGGACTTAGAACTCGGTTAGTTTGAGGTTTATACACTAATATCATCGTAAAATACTTAAATACATACTCCACTATTTCACAAACCTTCTTCGTTTCCTTTAGTAATACTGTAAAGTATTCTCGCGTTGTCGCCCACGTCATCGTCTTTTGCAGAGACCGTTAGGATTTTCCTGTCATCTGATGGCCCCAGTTCCTCGTTGTCCTCTCGCACTGACTTGAGGTAGGACTTTTTCTCAAACTTTGGGGTGACGTCATTGACATCAAGAATCGTGACAACCAACTGGCAATGAAAAGTACAAATGCAATGTGAGAGAAAATTATAATGAAAACATTGAGAGGGGACATGTACGGCTAAGTTCTTGGTAAGGAATAATGTGTGATCAGCAAACTTCATAATGTACATACTACGTTAAAAAAAGATGACATAAAGCTGACAGACTGAACTAATAAAAATCCTATATCTAAGACAATCTTGTTCCTCAATAACTCTCAGTCCACTTCCGTCTGAAAAATTTTCCCCGACAGATTTTGAAATAATCCTTCAGTTTCGTGAATTTTGGTCACATCGACAGCTCTTGCAGATAATGCAGATAAAGAATTCGTTAAGTTAATTTTTTCATTATAAAGATAATCACAACATGATAGGATTGGCTGCGACGAAATATTGTACATGACTCTGTGTTCAAAAAGTAAACAAAAAACGTAGAAATAAAGCTGTTTGTACTCACAAGGACTGTTGATTTTTGCTCTGTGTTGTTTACTCTGCTGATGGCAGCCAAAGTTAGAGTGTATGATGGAACTTTCTCGCGATCAAGACCATCTCCTGTCCAATTCAAGAACACGGTGCCATTTAACTCGCCGATCACAAAATTTCTCTGTTCATTTCCTCCTTCGATCTGGTAAAGTATGGTCTTGTGCGCTTCGTCAGCATCAATATCTGAGGCGTTCACTTGGGCGACAAATGCGCCTGCGGTGGCATTTTCTAATATGCTTGCGGTGTATCCATTCTTGTGGAAGACAGGCGCATTGTCGTCTACGTCACTAACGGTTACTAGGAGATTAGTGTAACCAGAAAGGGCGGGGATACCCAAGTCTCGTGCCGCAATGGTAATGTTGTAGAAGGCTTTGGTTTCGTGGTCAAGTTTTTGTCTTAAGGTAATGACACCAGTAATGGCTGCAAAAACGAAACGAAAATATAGCGTTTTATCGTTAATAAACTTTTTGCAATTTTCCGTCATTTTTCGAAGCAGTATTTGTAGCTGCTGTCTTTGTTCGGAGCTCATAGTACGCAAGCCCATACCACACGTGAACCAAGTTTTGTTGAAATATTGTGCTCCTTTCTCGTAATGCCGAGTTCTATTTCGTGTGGTGCGTTGTTTTCGTTACCAACACTCACAGGATGAGAAGGGGATCCCCTCAGTGTTCTCTGGAGCTCAGAGACTGGACATATAACCAGAGAATTTAAATTTATGAAGCTCGAATTCTAATGAAGCACACAAATATTTAGTTGTTCCAATGGGCTTATCATGAAAAATGTCATTCAAGTTCTGAGAAAAGCATTCATACCGTTTATTGCAAATTGGTCGTCAGGGTCTCTGCTCTCAATACTGTATCGGAACTGACCGTTTCCTCCCTCATCGAGATCCGAAGCAGAAACAGTTTCCACCTAACATAACAGACACATAACAAGTTAGTTTTCGGCGATGGCATTAAATGATTTCAATAGAATGTTTCAATTTTTTTTATCAAACAGGATGAACAGGCTTGACCCTCGCCATGCATTATTTAGTATTCAAAGCCAAATATTTGAGTGTTACACATTTGACTTTGAATTTCAAATTCGTTCTATTTCGTCAGTAAACGTAGAAATAACCATCATATTTCGCAATTAACACTCATTGCTTTATAATGCAACGGATTGTTCCTTCCTTCTCTTTGTACTTGTATATGGGAGTACCGGCAAATCACCATTTTTTTCCCAGGGCACTGACTAACTCCACTGATTTATAATCTCTTAGGGCTACGTCGTAGTTTTGAATTAGTTTTACGAGAAAATGTTGACCACTCTTAACCTTTTAACTCCCAAGATCTCATTATTAATTCTTCTTTCTGACTGCTGTACTATTCTTATGGTTTTAGTTATGAGAATTTGTTACTGGATCGACTGATAATCCCCTGATTGATATTTCTCTTTATTCTCATCACTTGTCTGTTTTATATTGTATTGATATTGTAGGGAGAAATTCTGTTTTGGTCACTCATGGGAATTCAAAAGTCAAGGCACTCACTTCTGTCTTTGTAAATGTACTTTCTGGTAGAGTGACATTGTAAAAGGCTTGTTGGAACTTCGGAGCGTTATCATTAACGTCATTTATCACGACTTGAACGGTCACGTTGCTCTCTAGAGAAGGACTTCCTTTGTCTCGAGCCTGGAATGAATATTTGAAATAAAACGAATAAAAGAAAATATAACATAACAGAAATTCAATTAATTTATGGGCACACCAGAAGGAGATGAAAAAATAGTCATGGCGTTGGACTAAGTTCTTCTTACAATGATAATAAATGTGACGGAGCTGTTTTTCTCTCTGTCCAGTTTGGCCGCGGTCATGATCCTTCCCGTTGTGTCATTTATCATGAAGAGTTCACCTTGAAAAAACAAAACAAAAAGGAAATTCTCAAACAAATTAACTTTATTACCTCGAACGGCAGCTGACAATGAGACAATAACCAAGTTGTGATACTTCTGTTCCAAAAGAAACAGCGAAGCCAACCTTAATTCCATCTACTTACTGGGCTTTCAAGCTACGGTACAATGTACTTCCCAGAATATCTTCCTAATTAACTTCCCACCTACCTCTAAGCTTGTTACTTCCTTACTTCTTATTCCACTACTTTCAGGTTATCTACCTTTCCGCCAGCACACCTTTCCACCTTCACACCTACCCCAGACTACCTACCTTACCGTATACAAGCCCTTCTTCATATCTTCATCTGTCTAATGGCTACCAAAGTTCTGTCAGCAATCGCACCTACCAACCTAAGTTCATAGTACCCACCCTCCCCGCATCAAGGGTAAACATCCTCCATCTTACTTACTTACCGACCACGTACCTCTTTACCTGGTTACCTTCCCACCTGCCTAACTAACTAACTACAGGTTACCAACCCACTTAATCACTTTTATCTTCACTTCTCTTACACCTTCAGGTTGCTTACATATATACTATATCAAACTGTTAACCTTTTGTCATAGTTACCTGCATACCTACTGTGCGCCTAGAGATTTTATGAATGTGAAACCTACTCTCTTTCAAAATAACATACAATCCTATTCTTTCTTGTATATCGCGACATTGTACTTGCTTTCATGTCATCAGTCCTAATTACAATCACTTTGTCGCTTACTTCCATTCTCCATCTTTGTGAAATAGGTTATCACTGCATTTGACCCCTCATCATCATCTGAAGCAGACACCAAACCAACAGCGTGGCCAACAGCGACATCTTCAGAAACTTCGAAGAGGTAATTTGACTGCGAGAATACCGGTGTGTTATCGTTATCGTCCAGCACTGTCACAATGACCTACAAGAAGAATCAGTTGTAAAGTAAGATGTACTGAATGATTGGGCCGATGATAGCCTAAGTGTCGAGAGTTTTGAAAATTAATCATAAGCTAGTTCTACGCACAAGCTGAATGATTCACAAAGCCTTGTGTCATCCTCTTTCCTGAAGATTGAAGAAAATTATAGAAACGTGCTATTTCATCTAAGATACCCAAATGCAGCCGAGCTCGAACCGGTGCCCGAGCTCAAGCTCAGGCCTGAGGCCGCATGCACAGATCAGCCCCAGTAGCAAAATTATGTAGATAAAAACTGGAATAGAAACAAAAACAGATTTGTGCTAACCTGTGTGGTTCCTTCTCGACTTCTTATGGCGTCGTCTGCTGCAAGCACAGTCAACGTATATGAATCAGCACCAGCTTGCTCTCGGTCCAAACGAACCGCTGTCGTAATATTTCCCTAAAGAAAACATGCAAATGAGGTATGAATGATTTTCGTTTTGCGTTATGTAAAGGCTATTTCCGCACCAACTTGACCACTTGACCAGATGAGTAATGAAATTGAGAGAAGCGACTGGTTGCGCACGAGTATTATCAATCTTAGACAATTTTCCACCGTGCCTCGCAAAGCAGCAACGAGGCACGATTCGATCGCAAACATGTAATAAGACAATTTGTTGATAGGTTTTTAAACTTTCATTTCGTCTTTGTGCTTTCTTAATGGAGGAAAAATAACTATATCAACAGAGAAGTTCAACAGATCTACATAAACATTGAAATTGATTTGCAAATGTCTAACCTCCTACAATCCAACAAAAGATCGAAACTTTTTAACTTACAGTGTCTTGGTCGATGTTAAAACGGAAATTTCCTCCGCGAAGTCCATAAGACAGTCTAGCATTAGTTCCCACATCCTTGTCTGTTGCAGTGACAACCAGGAGCGATGTACCTATTGGTTGGTTTTCCATGACGTAGGCTTGATAGACAGTCTGGTTAAAAGTAGGACTGTTGTCATTGATGTCGACTAAAGTTAAAGATACCTCCACCTCAGACGAGAGCGCTGGAGAACCAAGATCCGTCGCTCGAACGGTGAAGTTGAAGTATGGCGACATTTCCCGATCGAGTTCCTTATCAGCCTGGGAGATAAATCCAGTAACTGGATCAACTGAAACGTAATTTGTAGCATTGCTAACAATGCTGAATCTTATTTCGGCATTCACGCCCACATCCGCATCTTCAGCTGAGACGGTCAAAATACTGGTGTCCTTTGGAGACTCTTCGCGGTAATCTTCGATATAAAAGGACTTTGTAAAGACTGGCGGGTGGTCATTAACATCGTCAACTTTGATCACGATTTTCACTTTGTCCGATGTCAGGTTTACACTGTCCGTTGCTTGCACATAAATGACGTGTTCGGTCATATTTTCCCTGTCCAGGTCTTTGGCAGTTGTTATCACACCAGTGTCTCGGTCTATACTGAAATATCCACTGGAATCGCTCTTTACGAGTGAGTAAGTGTGACTGTCGTCTATATCTCTGTCTTGAGCTTTAAGTTTGGTAACATTCGTTCCAACTGAGGCATTCTCTGAGATATGATATGTCAACATATCGCTGTCGAAGAAAGGTTTTTCATCAATGACGTCAGTGACAGTTATGTTCACTTGACACGCGCCTTCCTTTGAATTTTGTCCAATGTTAGAGGCTGTCACATGAAGTACATAATAGCTTTTGAATTCCCGGTCGAGGCTAGAGTCCACGATGATATCACCTGTAGAAGAGAAGGAGCTTATTACCTATTCTGAATCTAAACTTTTAGTTACAAAGTTAATTTTAGATGAAAGATTATGAGAGTTTCCAAGGAAAAAGATATTCTCTTAAAAGGAGATTACAACAGAGCTCGAGATGGGCTTCTTTACGACTCACTGAGTTTTCATCAAGAGTTAAGCGAGGACTGAGCATGAAATTTACCCTTTTACAGACCTGTTGCTCTGTTGATGTAAAACTTCGCATCAGCTCCTGTCGACGTGTAAGTAATCTCTTTATTCAAGATCAGAAAGTCAAGATCTGTGGCTGTTACCCTCCTGACCGTTGTACCACGTGCAGCATCCTCGGATATGTTTGCATAATACACTTGCTGGCTAAACCGGGGGCGTTCATCGTTGACGTCGGTTATTTTGACTAATAAGGGAACAGAAGTGGTTTGGTTTCTGCCATCTGAGGCAGTCAGCGTCATATGGTAAGTGTCGTTCCTTTCTCTGTCGAGAGAGTTGTTGTAGCGTGTAATAATAATTGCTGTTGTTGCGTTGATCAGGAAATTCTCTGATCCAGGACCTGGTGGAAACGAAAAAAATGTTTCTGGTTCATAGCCTCAAACGCTTTCCAAACTATTTTGTATTTTCCGAAATAGCATTTTCCGTGAAAAATGGACCTTTTAGA